TATATTATTAAGAGAATAAGAACAATTTTGTGTTCAGGATATCTATATGATAAAATCGGTTTTTTTAGTAAAATTTGATATCATTGGAAAAATCTTGACTTGAATTAGTGCCTTTTCAAGGTTTCATATTATTCTCATCAATAGTCAATTTATGATAATAAGTATTTAGGCTGCAATCAAAATGCTCTATCTCTAGATACATAATTAAGAAATTACCTTGTATCTTGTGAATTATTGACATTTTTTGAGATATAAACTCATCTTGATGTTATACTCATCAAGAGCTTTCATTTGAGTATCCACATGCATTTTTGATATATTTTTCATATATACATGTATATAAATATATAAAAAATTGATGTGGGTACTCAAATAAAAGGTCTCGACGAGTGTAATGTCGGGGTGAGCTTATATCTTTAAAAATGTCAATATTTCACAAAATATTTATTAAATTGCACTGTACTTTCTTAAATATTGACGTTTTTTAAGACATAAGCTCATCTTGATATTACACTCATCAAGAGCTTTCATTTGAGTACCCACATGCATTTTTGATATATTTTTGATATATTCATATATATAAAATATATAAATATAAAAAATATATGAAAAATTGATGTGGGTATTCAAATGAAAGGTCTCGATGAGTGTAACATCGGAATGAGCTTATATCTTTAAAAATGTCAATAGTTTATAAGATACAAGGTAATTTCTTAGTAATTGACATTTTTAAAGATATAAGCTCATCCCGATGTTACACTCATCAAGATCTATCATTTGAGTACCCACATGTATTTTTGATATATTTTTCATATATACATATATATATAATATTCATAAATATATGAAAAATTGATATGGGTACTCTAATGAAAGGTCTCGATAAGTGTAACATCGGGATGAGGTTATATCTTTAAAAATGTCAATAGTTCTCAAGATACAAGGTAATTTCTTAATTACGTATCTAGAGATAGAGAATTTTTTAATGCAACCTAAATAGTTAACATCATAAATTTACTATCGGTGAGAATGATATAAAATCTTGAAAAGGCACAAATCTAAATTAAGGCCTTTGCAATGACACTAAATTTCTCTAAAAAAATCCATATTATCATATGACATGGAAACAAAATTTTTCTTATTCTCTTAATAATATAGATAATAATGATAATAAAAATTTTAATAATAATAATAAATTACCCGACATAAAAAATCCAAAAGTGTGGCAGTGACAGCAGGATGTGATCTCATTGAATTATTCATAACAAGTATAGCTGGTTCAATATTCATAATATTATCCTTTTCAGGATCAAAAAATAACCAATCATAAAATAACGCCAATTTAGCATTACTGGCAGCAACATTTGACGTACAAGTAGTTAACAACCATCCAATAACAGCCCAACGTGGAATAATATCTGAACATAATAATTCATTTGTTGGATGTATTACTCCAACAATAAATCTTATTAAATCACATCTCAATGATTGCGATTCTGGCGTTGCTAAATATTGCCGTTGAAACCAATCTTGATAACGTTTGTGATTGCCAAAACGTACGCTTGCTGTTAAAAATACTAGTTTACGCTCCATATCGGGAGTTAAGCGTGATTGTAAAAAACGACGTGATGTACGTGTTTGTAATAATTGCAGTACCCCGGTTAAATTTGGATTTAGTGATCTTGGATTTGTTAATAAATCACGCCAAAGGCTCTCAAATTCTGGTAATCTTGCTACATTTTGTAATAAACGTACTAGATCTCTGTAAATAAATTAATTTATTTTAGTTTTATTAAATAATAATCATGATATCGAAATTATAAGATATCTATTTTAATTTTTTAGAATTTTATAATTATTTAATTGTTATTAAAAAATTTTAATAAAAAAATTTCAAGTAAAAATTAAAAAAAAAAACAAACATTTTTTTTTTTAAATTTCAAGTAAAAATGTTTTAAAAATATTTTTTTTTTATAATTGATTTAAAAAAAAAATGTCAACTACAAATTTTCAAATCATTTTTTTTATAATTAATTTTTTTTGAGAATTTCAAGTAAAAATTAAAAAAAAAAAAAACATTTTTTTATTGAATTGATTTTTTAAAAAGTTTCAAGTTAAAAAATTTTTTTTTTAAATTGATTTAAAAAAAAATGTTAATTACAAATTTTTCAATCATTTTTTTGATAATTGATTTGTTTAAAAATTTCAAGTCAAAATTGAAAAAAAATATTTTTTCTTATAATTAATTAAAAAAAAATATTTTAATAACAAATTATAAAAAGATGATTCTTTTTATAATTGATTTCTTAGAAAATTTCAAGTCAAAATTAATAAAAAACATTTTTTTATTTAATTAATTGATCTATTAAAAAATTTCAAGTAAAATTTGTTTTTTATAATTGATTAAAAAAAAGTGTCAATTACAAATTTTTAAAAGACAATTTTTTTGTAATTGATTTTTTTTAAATTTCAAGTAAAATTTTTTTTTTATAATTGATTTAAAAAAATATTTCAATTACAAATTTTTAAAAATCATTTTTTTGATAATTGACTTTTTAAAAAAACTTCAAATAAAATAAAAAAAAAATTTTCTTTTTATAATTAATGTAGACAAAATATTTTAATTCAAAATTTTTTTTTATAATTGATTTTGCTAAAAAAAATTTTTTTGAGATATCTCATAATTTCAGTATCAAAAATAATATTAATAATAATAAAAATATCAATAATAATAACAATAGTTACCTCCCAATAAGTAAACAGTCAACAATATGTTCTCTGATTAACGTAACAGTAAAAGTAACCTCCTTAGCCCTCAATTGTTGTAAATGAGGAGCACTATGATCTTCAATTAACCGTAAATAAGTATAAACAATAAAAGCAACTAAATAAGGAAAATTTCCTACCCAGGGTCGATTGTCTTGAAAAATATCAAGTAATGCTTCAACTAAATAAATATTCCTAGGTGAAATATCACCACCAGCAGCGTGTCTCAATAAACTCAAACATAAATTATCAACACCAGCAATGTTTGTTCTTATTAATTCACGTAACAACCACAATAATTGACTACGTGTTGTATCATTTAATCTTAAATACCGCTCAAGCACTAATTGATTTAAATGACTTAGTACAATAGCCAGTCCATCACGTGTAATTAATGTTAAATCACGATAACTTTTAGTTGCATCTTGTGGGTCAGTTAAAATAACAACTAAAAGACCCAAGGATACTTCTTCGTGTGTTTTATCCTTACAAACTGCGTTATTTAATGTATCATGTGCTTCCTTTTCCGACAAACCAGCAGTAAGTCCCTGTAGCACACCATGACAACGTTCAAATTTCTGTAAATAATAAGAAAAATTAATTTTAATAATTTTTGTAACAAATAAATTATAGAAAAAAAAAATTGACAAGTAGGAATTTAAAAAATTAAAAAATACAATTTTTTAAAAATAATTTTTTTGTTAAAAAATTTTTAAAATGGCCAAGCTAAATTTTTGAAAATTAATTTAGTACACGGAAAGAACAAGATGACACTGGATACCATCTCAGATTATACTCAGTGACATCTGAGGTGGAAAAATTTTTTCAGATGGTAGCTAGTATAATCCAGATTATACTGAATAATATCTGGATTATACTCATTGTAATCTGGATTATACTCATTGTTGTCTGGATTATACTAGCTACTATCTGAAATTTTTTTTCACTCAGTATAATTTGGGATTATATATCCACTATAATCTTGTTCTTTTCGTGTCGATGCTGAATAATTTTTTTATCAAAATAAATTATAGAAAAAAAAAATTGACAAGTAGGAATTTAAAAAATTAAAAAATACAATTTTTTAAAAATAATTTTTTTGTTAAAAAATTTTTAAAATGGCCAAGCTAAATTTTTGAAAATTAATTTAGTACACGGAAAGAACAAGATGACACTGGATACCATCTCAGATTATACTCAGTGACATCTGAGGTGGAAAAATTTTTTCAGATGGTAGCTAGTATAATCCAGATTATACTGAATAATATCTGGATTATACTCATTGTAATCTGGATTATACTCATTGTTATCTGGATTATACTAGCTACTATCTGAAAATTTTTTTTCTAATTTAAATAATTTTTGTAACAAATAAATTCTAGAAAAAAAAATAGCCAAGTAGAAATAAAAAAAATGCAATTTTTAAAAAATAATTGGAATAAATTTGTTTGTTAAAAAAAATATGACATTAAAGTTAGCAATGGCTTGAAAATTTTTTAATAAATAAATTTGCTCCAAAAAGTTATTTCTAAAAAATTGGATTTTTTATTTTTTTAATTTTCTAAATGTCAATTTTTTTTTTCTCATTTTCTTTGACATAATTTATTTGTAAAAAAAATTTTAAAAATTATAAAATATCTGCTAAATAAATTTTCATAAAAAAAATTCAAAAATGGTCAAGTCAAAGCTAATTTTAATGTCATTAATTTATGAAAATTAATTTAGCAGATGCTCAATAATTTAAATAATTTTTGTAACAAATAAATTCTAGAAAAAAAAATAGCCAAGTAGAAATAAAAAAAATGCAATTTTTAAAAAATAATTGGAATAAATTTGTTTGTTAAAAAAAATATGACATTAAAGTTAGCAATGGCTTGAAAATTTTTTAATAAATAAATTTGCTCCAAAAAGTTATTTCTAAAAAATTGGATTTTTTATTTTTTTAATTTTCTAAATGTCAATTTTTTTTTTCTCATTTTCTTTGACATAATTTATTTGTAAAAAAAATTTTAAAAATTATAAAATATCTGCTAAATAAATTTTCATAAAAAAAATTCAAAAATGGTCAAGTCAAAGCTAATTTTAATGTCATTAATTTATGAAAATTAATTTAGCAGATGCTCAATAATTTAAATAATTTTTGTAACAAATAAATTCTAGAAAAAAAAATAGCCAAGTAGAAATAAAAAAAATGCAATTTTTAAAAAATAATTGGAACAAATTTGTTTGTTAAAAAAAAAAATTAAAAAATGATCAAGTGACAGCTAAATTTAATATAATTAAAAATTTTAATAACCCGGGAAAATAATAATTATTTTAAAAAAAGTATAGCAGCGCCATCGGACAAAGTTATAGTTTTTTGTTACTAAAACGTAGATATGGAGTAACACAATGGCGGTGATGGTAATGGATAAAATATTACACGTACTTACAATAAAAATAATTTATCCACGATAATAATTAAATAAAAAAAAATAATAAAAAATTACCTCTTCAAGTTCATCTTTGTTCTCAATGCAAGACGTATTAAAAAGTCTCCAATTATTGGAGCTCCCAGTTTTAATTTCCATATTTTCATCCACAAAATATTAAATAAATACTAAGCAGCAATAATAATAATAATAATAATAATAATAATAATAATAATTAATATTAATCACGCAGCTACGCAATTAAAGCCTTGAGTATAATTTTTAGACTTCACAATTTTTCACTCAGCCCTGTTGTGTATATTAGAGGTGGTGGTGGTGGTAGTTGGCCGCTGTTGCTGGTGCTGCTTTAGCCTCTTGCCGTTTCCTCTGTTAACCATCAAAACGAGCATCGTGATATAAGTTATGACTGTTAAATGACCCTCTCTCCCTTTTAATTATTTATTATGCTTGTATAAATTTATCAATCACAATTTTTATTTTTTAATAAATTTATTTTTCAATAAAATTAATTTTTTTTGTCTTGCTGTTTGATTTTCAGGAGCAGTGAGTATGTGCTAGTACTACAAGCACGTAACTCGTACTAAATGGTACAGTACAGAGCAATAGTATATATAAGCACTCGCACTTGATAATTTTTACGTCCTTATGCTTCGACTCTCACTCCAAGACTCTTCTGCTCTTCTGTTCGAACTACTCAACTTCTCAATACAAAATTACAGCATGTACAATTTTGTGTACGCTATACTCAGACTGTTTAGTGCTGCCATCTTGAATGCGCATGCGCATTCACACCTTAAAAAATGTCCTGGTAAATACACCTGAAAAAATTAATTTATTTATGAAAATTAAGTTAGCCGACATCTGAAAATTTTAAGAATTTTTTTTTCATTTAAAAAATTATTACAAAATAATAAAAAAAAATTTTCATTTGTAAAAAACTTGAAAAACTGTAAGTGCAATTTTTTTAAAATATTTTTTTTGTTCTAATTTAATTATTGAAAAAAAAAATCAAAAAATAAAAATAGTCGACTAAAAATTTTAAGTATTTTTTTTCATGACTAACTTTAGTATTATAAATTAATTTAGCAGATATTTAATAATTTTAAGAATTTTTGTAACAAATAAATTATAAAAAAAAAAAATTGACAAGTAGAAATTTAAAAAATTCAAAACTGCAATTTTAATATAATTTAAAAATTGTTAAAATAAAATTAAAAACTGGCCAAGACTGCTAACTTTAATGTCATCAATTTTTTTTTTTTTTTTATTAGTAGGTAGTTTATAATTTTAATTTTTTGTACTATAATTATGAAAGAAAAAATTTAAAAAATTGACGTAGAAATTTTAAAAAATTAAAAATGAAATTTTTTTTAAATTATTTTTGGAACAAATTTATTTGGTAAATAATATTGAAAAATTGTCAAGTGACAGCTAAATTTTAATGTCATTTTATTATTAATTGTTCGTCATAAATTTTTATTTTTTAGAAATCAAACAAATTAATTTTAAGAATATTTTTTTACAAATTATGGCAAAAAAAATTTTTTTTAATTTTTCAATTAATTTAGCAGATATTTTATAATGTTTTTTGATTAATAAATTAAGTCAAAAAAAAATTGAGTAAAAAAATTGACATGTAGAAATTTTAATAAATTAAAAATGCAATTTTTTATAAAAAATTTTTTGAAACAAATTTGTTTGTTAAATAAAATTAAAAAATTGTAAAATGGCAGCTTAATTTAATGTCATTTACTTCTTATTTGTTTGTTACAAATTTTTATTTTTTTTTAAAATCGAATTAATTTTTGTAATTTTGACGTGGAATTTTTGTTTTTTATTTTATCTATCAACATTTCATGTTTTATTATTATATAAAAATAATGAGGCATCATCACAAAGTTAGCCAACATTTAAAAATTTTTAGAATTTTTTTTATTAAAAAAAAATATTTTTAGTTCTAATTTAATAAATTGAACAAATAAAAAAATGTCGGCTAACTTTATTATTATTGAGACATCTGGTAATTTTTATTGACATTAAAGTTAACTGACATAAGAAATTTTTTTATTATTTTATATCATTTAAATGTCTTGTAAACAATCATGCATCCGGTATTATATTTAGTTGCTAACAATCGCACAATGATTGTTAGCAACAGCGACAAAGTATGGTTTGCACTGACAATAGTAATCTTTGCAAACAGAATTTTTAGCTACGCATTGATCGTCCCTCCAGCAAAAGCCGTTGAGAGAAGGAAGACAAATAGTCAAATTAGTCATCGCCATATTATCCACACGACAAACGCATTTTTTATTTGTAGCACAATTCCAATGCCAAGAATCACTGCACTCAGAAGTTTTATTGCAGGAATACATCAAGCGCGCTGTCAAAGAGATTAGTTTCATTAATATAATTATTAATTTTAGGTGAAGAAGAAAATTATTGACATTGAAGAACAAAATAATACTTACTTTCCATGCATCTGTCTACGGAAATGGCTGTGTAACCAGATTTGCATTGACACTTACCATCCACACAATGAAATAAATCATCGGAGCATTGTATATCATTTAAACAAGTTGCATTGATTGTAGGAATACAAAAATGATTGTCTAATGCAAAGTATTTTGGAGGACAAATGCATATTTTATCTGAAGAACATATGGAATTCTTAATCATTGAACAATCCTCAGATGTGTTACACCGCTTGCCCAACATTCCTAGGAAATGAAAAGCGTTAGTTAAAAATAATGTAAGTTATTAACTATCAATATAAGAATTAATTATTGCTTTACTTGACTCGCATCTAGAATTGAAATCAACAGCTAAAAAATCATCCCTGCACTGACATTTATTGGCAACGCATTCAGAATTGCCGACGTAGCACTCATCATCTACTTGACAATGTTCATGCAAAAGTGCTTCACATAATGTACTGTTTACAGAGACATAATTATTTAAACAAGAACATTTTTTGCTTGTAGAACACTCGGCATACTTGGTCATGTTGCAATCACTATTGTTGTCACAAGTCTTTCCAAGTCGGGCTGCTCAAAATATTGATATTAAGAATTTAGTCGAGATCTTCCCTCAAGGTTTTTGAAATACCGTTAATTTTTGGTATTAATGCGCTTATCATAAATTTACCGTTATAATTCTGAAATAATACCGCAGTTATACTGCAATTTTGCCGCGTTTATACTTACATAATTAAAAAATTGCGAAATTTAGTTTTTTTTTGTTCATTGCTACATTTAAAGTCATATCATAAATTATGAGCAGATTATAAAATTTTCATTTTTATTCCATTAATTATTACGTTTTTCATCCTAATCAAAGAGCAATTAGTTTTCCGGTTAGGAAAAGACTAGTAACTACCTTGATTTTCGAGTATTTGATTATTGCGGAGTAGTGTATACTGATTTGACGGATCAGCAACAAATTAGATTGCAACGCAAGCTAATAATGCTTGCGTCAGGTATATATTTAAAATATCCAGATTTGAGAATGACTAAATAAGTATACAGTAAATATGCGATATATTTACGGTTTTAATGCTGTTAATATACCGTAATTTTCCTATTGTATTGCCGTAAATATTCTGAATTTATTTGGTAATAATTTGGGGAAAAAACTGGCTAAAATAACTGAAGTATTACGGTGAACATACAGCATTTATATCGTATGAATACGGAATCTTTGCGGCATTTCCAAAACCACGAGGGTTTGAATAAAATTTTCTACTTACTTGACAAACATTTGGCGTCAGAATTTTTAAAAAAAGGTTTGCATTCACACTTATCATTGACGCATACTGAATTTTCTGTCACACAGGGAAGATCATGTGAGCAATATTGATTCAAAAGTGCTCCACACGCGCTACCATTCAGAGCAATATTGTTTTGTGTGCAAGAACACAAGTTAGAGGAGGAACAATATGAAAATTTTATATTTTCACAGTCACGATCGGTTTCACAAGACTTGTGTAAGATTTCTAAAATTAAAAAAAAAATTTTAGGAACTTGAATTATGATTCTTGCTCAATAAGTGATTGATAACTTACTGGACTGACACCGGTTATTTGATAGTGGTACAAAAAAATCAGCACACTCGCACTCTCCATATAAACATATTGAATATCGGACGGTACATTCTTCATGTTCCGTACAGTGAGTTCCTAAAAGAGGTGAGCAAGTCATTGCATTAGATTCAACGTAACCTGCTTTGCATGTACATTGATAATCCGAACATTCAGCATTCGGTATTGCACTGCAGTGACTATTGATCCAACAATTCTGGTTTAACATACCTAAAGAATGTAATACACTTTATTGTATTGAACAATAGCTAAAAATTTCACAACATAACTTACTTGGTAAGCAAGAGAGGATCGAATTGTTCCTATAGTTTATTGCACACTTGCATTTTTTATCTGAACAGACGGAATTATAAGGAATGCAGTCCCTATCAACGCTACAAAGCTCTCCTAACAATGAACCAACACAATTATTGTCTTCAGAGCAGGATTTATCTGAGAAACCTGCGACGGAATGGTGATAATGATAACAGATATTATCAAGACAGAAAGCTTGTTCAACTCTACACTGTTCATAATTTGTGGTCATGTTGAAGAGAAGCGAATGTACGGTTCTGTTGTAGTAATAACTATTTGAACTGCAAATACAATCATTTTCTGGAGAACATGTTGTGTAGTTGATGTTGGAATTACAAAAATAATCATTGATGCAGGACATTCCTAATTCAGCTGCAAAAGATTAACAATAAATGATCAGACAACCGATATTCGAATTGATTACTTACGTCGTATGCATTGATTGCTGTTGATAGCGACGTATTCTGGCCTACACTGGCATTTATTGTTCTTGCATACGGAATTATTGAGTAGGCAATCGCTATCCGTCGTACAGTAACTATTTAACACCGGCTCACATGAAATGTTGTTCACAACAACTGTGTTGAGGGAACAAACGCAATAATTGTTTTTCGAGCATTTTGCGAATCTTATTCTAGCACAATTTCTATCATAACGGCAACGCAAGCTCCCGATAACTGTAATCATCAACAAATTTTAAGTTTAGCGGTTATTTCATGCGAGACTACGCAGATTAAATTACCTGGTAAGCATTGATCTTCGCTTGCTGAGTAGTTTTTCCTGCACCTACACTCATTATCAATGCACAGAGCATTTCTAGTTACGCATGTCTCGTTCTTCCAACAAAATCCTCCCAATGATGGCGCACAGTATGTTTCGTTTAACCTGAGATTGTTCGCTCTGCAATCACATTTCTTCTCTGTAGAGCATTTCGCGTGCTTTATTTCCCAACAGTCTTCATCTGTGACGCAAGAGGCGCCTATTTCACCTGTATCAGAAAAAATAGTCATACCGCAAACTGATACAGCTTTGTAATCAGCAATTATGACTAATTGGAGTATTTATATTTCAAAAATTACTTACCTTTTTCTCCACACACAGACTCGCTTCTTGATTTCTTCAACTTGCAAGAAAGGGTTGAATTACAGCATGGTTGCAGAGAGTGAGGATCACACTGGAAAAATAATTTATAAATTAATAAATATTATCCCGATATATAATATTCTACGATGATACTTACTTCATGATTATATTGAGCACACTGATTAGAAGACCCATTGGTAGTTCCATTTGCTTCACTAACACACAATATTAGTGAAATTACAACACCACTTGAGAAGTAAATGAAGCTATGAGCAAACATTGTAATTTCATTCAATTTAATTGAAAAAATTTAACAATAAAACTATCTCTGGGCTATGGTAAATTTTACGTATAAAATTATATCTTTATCTTTTTACGGCGCCGTGATGAGTGACCACTTAAATAAATTCGATAGAAATTCTTTCAATAATTTTTCAATAAAACCTATTTTTGTTAGAAATAATAACACAATTTGTATCATTGCACAATTGCTTTATTAGCAGGAATTTCCAAGATTGGCTTTTTTTATTGATAAATTATAAAATGTCAAATTTAATAGCTTTTAAATCAATTATCTTTTATTTTTTTCAAAGAAGTCGATCATCAACTCAATTAAATTTTCAAAAAAAAATTTTTATCTATAGATTAATTATATCGTATTAGATTTGTTATAAAAATTAAACCAATTTCGTCAGATAACTTCAGTATTATATTTTTTTAATAAATCATAATAAAAAACATATTTTTTTTTATTTTTCAGATGTGTGGCATTTCTTATTAAATTTATATCACAATAATTATTTAAAAAATTTTAATTCTTTTAATTTCAGTCAGTATTATTCGACTTGAAACACACAATGATTGTTAGCAACAGCGACAAAGTTAGGTTTGCATTGACAACGGTAGTCTGTGCAAACAGAATTTTCAGCCATGCATTGATCCTCCCTCCAACAATAGCCGTTGAGAGAAGGAAGACATGTAGAATTATTAATCGCCATATTATCCACATGACAAACGCATTTTCCATTTGTAGCACAATTCCAATGCCAAGAATCACTGCACTCAGAAGTTTTTTCGCAGGAATAGATCAAGCTCGCTGTCAAAGAGGTTAGTTTCATTGATATAATTATTAATTTTAGGTTAAGAACAAAATTATTGACATTGAAGAATGGAATAATACTTACTTTTCATGCATTTATTAACGGAAATGGCTGTATAACCAGAATTGCATTGACACTTACCATCCACACATCGAAATAAATTATTGGAGCATTGTATGTCATTTGAACAAGCTGCATTAATTGTAGGAGTGCAAAAATAACTGCCTACTGCAGAGTAGTTGGGAGGACAAACGCATATTTTATCTGAAGAACATATGGAATTCTTAATCATTGAACAATCCTTGGATATGTTACACCGCTTGCCCAACATGCCTAAGAAATGAAAAGCGTTAGTTAAAAATAATGTGAGTTATTAACTATATCAATAAGAAACGATTATTTCTTTACTTGACTCGCATCTAGAATTAGAACCAACAGCTGAAAAATTATCCCTGCACCGACATTTATTGGCGACGCATTCAGAATTGCCGATGTAGCACTCATCATCTACTTGACAATGTTCATGCAAAAGTGCTTCACATAATGTACTGTTTACAGAGACATAATTATTTAAGCAAGAACATTTTTTGCTTGTAGAACACTCAGCATACTTAATCATGGTGCAATCATAATTGTTGTCACAACACTCTTCAAGACGAGCTGCTTATCAAAACATTGATATTAATAATTTTGTCGAGATTGTCCCTCAAGGTTTTTGAAATACCGTAAATTTTCGGTATTAATGCGCTTAACATAACTAATACAAAAATTATACTGCAATTTTGCCGCGTTTATACTGATATAATTAAAAAATTGCGATATTTAGTATTTTTTGTTTATTACTGCAGTTAAAGTCATATTATAAAAAATATGCAGATTATAAAATTTTCATTTATATTCCATTTATTCGCACGTTTCTCATTCTTATCAAAGACTCATTAAAAGTAAAGCATAGAGATTGTAGAATTTTTGAAGTTCGGTGATGAGTAAAAAAGAATATAATTCTGTTAATATATACTGTAATTTTTTTATTGGATTGCCGTTAATATTCTGAATTTATTTGGTAATAATTTGGGAAAAAAACTGGCTAAAATAACAGAAGTATTACAGTGAACATATACAGCATTTATATCGTATGAACACAGAATCTTTGCGGCATTTCCAAAACCACGAAGGTTTGAATAAAAATTTCTACTTACTTGGCAAACATTTAGCGTCAGAATTTTTAAAAAAAGATTTGCATTCACACTTATCATTGACGCATACTGAATTTTCTGTCACACAGGGAAGATCATGTGAGCAATATTGATTCAAAAGTGCTCCACACGCGCTACCATTCAGAGCAATATTGTTTCGTATGCAAGAACACAAGTTAGAGGAGGAACAATATGAAAATTTTATATTTTCACAGTCACGATCGGTTTCACAAGACTTGTGTAAGATTTCTAAAATTTAAAAAAAATTTTAGGAACTTGAATTATGATTCTTGCTCAAGTGATTGATAACTTACTGGACTGACACCGGTTATTTGATTGTGGTACAAAAAAATCAGCACACTCGCACTCTCCATCGAAACATATTGAATATCGGACGGCACATTCATCATCTTTGGTACACTGAGTTCCTAAAAGAGGTGAGCAAGTCATTGCATTAGATTCAACGTAACCTGCTTTGCATGTACATTGATAATCCGAACATTCAGCATTCGGTATTGCACTGCAGTGACTATTGATCCAACAATTCTGGTTTAACATACCTAAAGAATGTAATACACTTTATTGTATTGAACAATAGCTAAAAATTTCACAACATAACTTACTTGGTAAGCAAGAGAGGATCGAATTGTTCCTATAGTTTATTGCACACATGCATTTTTTATCTAAACAGACGGAATTATAAGGAAGACAGTCCTTATCAACGTTACAAAGCTCTCCTAACAATGAACCAAAACAATTTTTGTCTTGAAAGCAGAATTTATCTGAGAAACCTGCGACAGAATGATGAAAACACTTATTATCAAGACAGAAAGCTTGTTCAACTCTACACTGTTCATAATTTGTGGTCATGTTGAAAAGAAGTGAATGTACGGTTCTGTTGTAGTAATAACTATTTGGACTGCAAACACACTTCTTTTCTGGGGAACATATTGAGTGGCTGATGTGGAAATTACAAAAATCATCATTGATGCAGGACATTCCTAATTCAGCTGCAAAAGATTAACAATAAATGATCAGACAACCGATATTCGAATTGATTACTTACGTCGTATGCATTGATTGCTGTTGATAGCAACGTATTTTGGCCTACACTGGCATTTATTGTTCTTGCATACGGAATTATTGAGTAGGCAATCGCTATCCGTCGTACAGTAACTATTTAACACCGGCTCACATGAAATGTTGTTCACAACAACTGTGTTGAGGGAACAAACGCAATAATTGTTTTTCGAGCATTTTGCGAATCTTATTCTAGCACATTTTCTATCATAACGGCAACGCAAGCTCCCGATAACTGTAATCATCAACAAATTTTAAGTTTAGCGGTTATTTCATGCGAGACTACGCAGATTAAATTACCTGGTAAGCATTGATCTTCGCTTGCTGAGTAGTTTTTCCTGCACCTACACTCATTATCAATGCACAGAGCATTTCTAGTTACGCATGTCTCGTTCTTCCAACAAAATCCTCCCAATGATGGCGCACAGTATGTTTCGTTTAACCTGAGATTGTTCGCTCTGCAATCACATTTCTTCTCTGTAGAGCATTTTGCGTGCTTTATTTCCCAACAGTCTTCATCTGAGACGCAAGAGGCTTCTAGTTTGGCTGTATCAGAAAAAAAAGTCATACCGCAGACTGATACAGCTCTGTATTCAGCAATTATGACTTATTAGAGTCTTTATATTTCATTAATTACTTACCTTTTTCTCCACACACAGACTCGCTTCTTGATTTCTTCAACTTGCAAGAAAGGGTTGAATTACAACATGGTTGCAGAGAGTGAGGATCACACTGGAAAAATAATTTATAAATTAATAAATATTATCCCGATATATAATATTCTACGATGATACTTACTTCATGATTATATTGAGCACACTGATTAGAAGACCCATTGATAGTTCCATTTGCTTCACTAACACACAATATTAGTGAAATTACAACACCACTTGAGAAGTAAATGAAGCTATGAGCAAACATTGTAATTTCATTCAATTTAATTGAAAAAATTTAACAATAAAACTATCTCTGGGCTATGGTAAATTTTACGTATAAAATTATATCTTTATCTTCTTACGGCGCCGTGATGAGTGACCACTTAAATAAATTCGATAGAAATTCTTTCAATAATTTTTCAATAAAACCTATTTTTGTTGGAAATAATAACACAATTTGTATCATTGCACAATTGCTTTGTTAGCAGGAATTTCCAAGATTTGGCTTTTTTTATTGATAAATTATAAAATGTCAAATTTAATAGCTTTTAAATCAATTATCTTTTATTTTTTTCAAAGAAGTCGATCATCAACTCAATTAAATTTTCAAAAAAAAATTTTTATCTATAGATTAATTATATCGTATTAGATTTATTATAAAAATTAAACCAATTTCGTCAGATAACTTCAGTATTATATTTTTTTAATAAATCATAATAAAAAACATATTTTTTTTTATTTTTCAGATGTGTGGCATTTCTTATTAAATTTATATCACAATAATTATTTAAAAAATTTTAATTCTTTTAATTTCAGTCAGTATTATTCGACTTGAAACACACAATGATTGTTAGCAACAGCGACAAAGTTAGGTTTGCATTGACAACGGTAGTCTGTGCAAACAGAATTTTCAGCCATGCATTGATCCTCCCTCCAACAATAGCCGTTGAGAGAAGGAAGACATGTAGAATTATTAATCGCCATATTATCCACATGACAAACGCATTTTCCATTTGTAGCACAATTCCAATGCCAAGAATCACTGCACTCAGAAGTTTTTTCGCAGGAATAGATCAAGCTCGCTGTCAAAGAGGTTAGTTTCATTGATATAATTATTAATTTTAGGTTAAGAACAAAATTATTGACATTGAAGAATGGAATAATACTTACTTTTCATGCATTTATTAACGGAAATGGCTGTATAACCAGAATTGCATTGACACTTACCATCCACACATCGAAATAAATTATTGGAGCATTGTATGTCATTTGAACAAGCTGCATTAATTGTAGGAGTGCAAAAATAACTGCCTACTGCAGAGTAGTTGGGAGGACAAACGCATATTTTATCTGAAGAACATATGGAATTACTAATAAGCAAACAATCCTTGGATATGTTACACCGCTTGCCCAACGTGCCTAAGAAATGAAAAGCGTTAGTTAAAAATAATGTGAGTTATTAACTATATCAATAAGAAACGATTATTTCTTTACTTGACTCGCATCTAGAATTAGAACCAACAGCTGAAAAATTATCCCTGCACCGACATTTATTGGCGACGCATTCAGAATTGCCGATGTAGCACTCATCATCTACTTGACAATGTTCATGCAAAACTGCTTTACATAATGTACTGTTTACAGAGACATAATTATTTAAACAAGAACATTTTTTGCTTGTAGAACACTCAGCATACTTAATCATGGTGCAATCATAATTGTTGTCACAACACTCTTCAAGACGAGCTGCTTATCAAAACATTGATATTAATAATTTTGTCGAGATCGTCCCTCAAGGTTTTTGAAATACCGTAAATTTTCGGTATTAATGCGCTTAACATAATTAATACAAAAATTATACTGCAATTTTGCCGCGTTTATACTGATATAATTAAAAAATTGCGATATTTAGTATTTTTTGTTTATTACTGCAGTTAAAGTCATATTATAAAAAATATGCAGATTATAAAATTTTCATTTATATTCCATTTATTCGCACGTTTCTCATTCTTATCAAAGACTCATTAAAAGTAAAGCATAGAGATTGTAGAATTTTTGAAGTTCGGTGATGAGTAAAAAAGAATATAATTCTGTTAATATATACTGTAATTTTTTTATTGGATTGCCGTTAATATTCTGAATTTATTTGGTAATAATTTGGGGAAAAAACTGGCTAAAATAACAGAAGTATTACAGTGAACATATACAGCATTTATATCGTATGAACACAGAATCTTTGCGGCATTTCCAAAACCACGAAGGTTTGAATAAAAATTTCTACTTACTTGGCAAACATTTAGCGTCAGAATTTTTAAAAAAAGATTTGCATTCACACTTATCATTGACGCATACTGAATTTTCTGTCACACAGGGAAGATCATGTGAGCAATATTGATTCAAAAGTGCTCCACACGCGCTACCATTCAGAGCAATATTGTTTCGTATGCAAGAACACAAGTTAGAGGAGGAACAATATGAAAATTTTATATTTTCACAGTCACGATCGGTTTCACAAGACTTGTGTAAGATTTCTAAAATTAAAAAAAAAATTTTAGGAACTTGAATTATAATTCTTGCTCAAGTGATTGATAACTTACTGGACTGACACCGGTTATTTGATTGTGGTACAAAAAAATCAGCACACTCGCACTCTCCATCGAAACATATTGAATATCGGACGGCACATTCTTCATGTTCCGTACACTGAGTTCCTAAAAGAGGTGAGCAAGTCATTGCATTAGATTCAGCGTAACCTGCTTTGCATGTACATTGATAATCCGAACATTCAGCATTCGGTATTGCACTGCAGTGACTATTGATCCAACAATTCTGGTTTAACATACCTAAAGAATGTAATACACTTTATTGTATTGAACAATAGCTAAAAATTTCACAACATAACTTACTTGGTAAGCAAGAGAGGATCGAATTGTTCCTATAGTTTATTGCACACATGCATTTTTTATCTAAACAGACGGAATTATAAGGAAGACAGTCCTTATCAACGTTACAAAGCTCTCCTAACAATGAACCAAAACAATTTTTGTCTTGAAAGCAGAATTTATCTGAGAAACCTGCGACAGAATGATGAAAACACTTATTATCAAGACAGAAAGCTTGTTCAACTCTACACTGTTCATAATTTGTGGTCATGTTGAAAAGAAGTGAATGTACGGTTCTGTTGTAGTAATAACTATTTGGACTGCAAACACACTTCTTTTCTGGGGAACATATTGAGTGGCTGATGTGGAAATTACAAAAATCATCATTAGTGCAGGACATTCCTAATTCAACTGCAAAAGATTAACAATAAATAATCAGATAACCGATATTTGAATTAATTACTTACGTTGTATGCATTGAATGCTGTTAATAGCGACGTATTCTGGCCTACACTGGCATTTATTGTTCTTGCATACGGAATTATTGAGTAGGCAATCGCTATCCGTCGTACAGTAACTATTTAACACCGGCTCACATGAAATGTCGTTCACAACAACTGTGTTGAGGGAACAAACGCAATAATTGTTTTTCGAGCATTTTGCAAATCTTATTTTAGCACAATCTATATCTTCACTGCAATGCAAGCCGATGAGAACTGTAATCATCAACAAATTTTAAGTTTAGCAGTAATTTCATGCAAAACTACGCAGATTAAATTACCTGGTAAGCATTGATCTTCGCTTGCTGAGTAGTTTTTTCTGCACCGACACTCACTATCAATGCACAGGGCATTTCTAGTTACGCATGTCTCGTTCTTCCAACAAAATCCTCCCAATGATGGCGCACAGTATGTTTCGTTTAACCTGAGATTGTTCGCTCTGCAATCACATTTCTTCTCTGTAGAGCATTTTGCGTGCTTTATTTCCCAACAGTCTTCATCTGAGACGCAAGAGGCTTCTAGTTTGGCTGTATCAGAAAAAAAAGTCATACCGCAGACTGATACAGCTCTGTATTCAGCAATTATGACTAATTAGAGTATTTAAATTTCAAAAATTACTTACCTTTTTCTCCACACACAAACTCGCTTCTTGATTTCTTCAACTTGCAAGAAAGGGTTGAATTACAGCATGGTTGCAGAGAGTGAGGATCACACTGGGAAAAAAATTTATAAATTAATAAATATTATCCCGATGTATATATATCTACGATGATATTTACTTCATGATTATATTGAGCACACTGATAAGAAGACCTATTGGTGATTCCATTTGCTTCACTAATACACAATATTAGTGAAATTACAACACCACTTGAGATGTAAATGAAGTTATGGGCAAACATTGTCATTTCATTAAATTTAATTGAGAAAATTTAAGGAAAATATTATGAGCTATGAAGAACTTTGCAACGCTTTATAAAATTCTATTCTCTTTCGTTTACGACAGAGACATTAATAACAACTAAAATAGAATTTATTTGTGCAACAACATATACCAATAAAAATATGTCATTATTTTAGGATTGCTTCATCGATAGAAATTCCAGATATAAATTTTATCAATTTGCTTGAAAAATAAAAATTTATCAATTCAATAAAAAAAATAAACCACTTAAGGTTCTTAAAATAGGAAAGAATGGACAATTACGGCAATTGAAAAATTACTTCTATTATTTCATCAAAACGTTTATTTATTTCGTTAGATTGTTACTCAGTTTATAATTATTAAGACTTTAGTCAGGTAATATTGAAATATCAAAAAATTTTTCTTAAGACTAATTTTAATTTTCATTGTGGAGAACGCAAAGATTGCCGGCAGCTAGTACATGATTAGGCTTACATCCACATTGATAATCGATGCAAACAGAGTTTTCAGCCATGCATTGATCATCCTTCCAGCAGTAGCCGTTGAGTAAAGGAAGACATGTCGAATTATTTATTGCAATGTTATTTATGTGACAAACACATTTTCCAATTGGAGCACAATTCCAATGCCAAGAATCACTACACTCAGAAGTTTCTTTACAAGAATACAGTGAATTTGCTGTCGAAAAAGTAAGTTTTAATGTAATGTAAATTAATCTTAGCTTCAGAATTCTCAAACAATTTTGATATAGAAGATTTCAAAATGATGAAGGACATTCATGCGTTACGATAGAGTCAAATTTTATTGGAACTTTATGTTGTTATCGGATCTTATATTGTTCTCAGACCTTGTATTGCTCTTGGAACTTGGTACTATTCTTGGAACATGATATGGTTCTTAGAACCTAATACTGTTGTCAGAGGTTAATATTGTTCTTGGAACTTATATTGTTCTCAGAACCTAAAGTTATTCTTAGAACCTGATACTGTTCTTGGAACTTTATATTGTTCTTCGAACCTACTATAGTTCCTAGAACCTACTATTGTTCGTAGAACATGATGCGGTTTATAGAACCTGATATTGTTCTCGGAACTTATATTATTCTTGGAACCTAATATTGTTCTCAGAACTTGATGTTGTTCTCGGAACCTAATAGTATTTTTAGAACCTTCAAAAACTATTATAATTAAGCTTATTATGACTAACAAATAAAAATTTAGATCTAAAACTATCTCTTACGCATGAACGTCCTTAAAATTGGATGAAGGAATAATACTTACTGTTCACGCATCTGTCAACGGAAATGGCTGTGTAACCATGTATGCATTGACACTTACTATCCACACAACGGAATACACCAGACAAGCATTCTTCATCGCTCAAACAATCTGAATTGATTGTTGGTGCACAAAGATGATTGCCGATTGCAAAATAGTTTGGAGGGCAAATACAAATGCCATTTGATGAACATACAGAATTCAAAATAATTGAACAATCTTCCAGTTCGTTACATTGTTTGCCCAATGCGCCTACAAAAGTGATTTGGTTAGTTTTATTTAATTAATATTCAAGAGAATAACTAAAGTGATTAAAATTTCACTTGCTTGATTGACATTTAGAATTTGAAGGGTCAGCAGCGAAGAAATTCTTGCATCGGCACTTATTATCCATGCAAATAGAATTTTCAGCGTAGCAATCTGCATCTTGTTCGCAATTTTCACCTAAAAGAGCTTTACATGCTCTGGCGTTGACTGCGATGTATGCTTCTTGGCAAAAACATTTTTTGTTCGTAGAACACTGGGCATGCTGTATCATCATGCAGTCATCATTATTTTCACATGATTCTCCGAGATACACTGGTTGAAATATTACCGTCAAAAATAATAAATAATAAATAAGCAAACATATACTTACTAGGGACACATTGATAATTAAAATTATCTTTAAAATGTTGTTTGCAGCAGCACTTATTATCGTGACACAGTGTGTTTGCTCCCCAACAAGAATTATCATCAGAACAATATTCGCCTAAAAGCGCTGCACACTTTGTTTCATCTAAAGCAACATATTTTTGATTGCAAGTACACTTACTTTGTTCAGAGCAGGATGAAAATTTAATTGTATGGCAATCGTAATCAGTGATACATTCTCGTTTCAAGATTTCTAAAATAAATCCAGCACCATTGAAATAACGTCAGAAATTTGACAAAAAAAATAACAACTTACTCGAAAGGCACTTGTGATTGGATAGTGGCATATAATCTTTACGGCATTTGCAAACTTTATCAGAACAAACTGAGTTATTGACAATACATTCGGTATTTATCGTGCACTTGTTTCCCAGAAGGGAAAAACAAGCAATTTCATCAAATTTTCCGTAGTTTATTTTGCATGCGCACTTAAAATTTTTACATTCTGCATTTATTATCGCGCTGCAATCCGCATTATCTCTGCAATCTTGATCTAAAAACTCTGATAAATAATAATGTTAGTAAAAAATTAACGGACAGTTTGATAACATTTCAAGTAATCACTTACTTGGCCTGCAATTATATATCGAATAGAAACTATAGTCGTCTTTACATTCACATCTACCGTGAAAACACCTGGAGAAGTAAGGTTGACAATCCTTATCATCGCTACAATCTTCTCCAATCAATGACCCATAACAATTTTCGTCTTGAGTGCAGAATTTACCCGAGAAGCCTTTTGTAGAGTTATACCAACAAGTATTATAAAGGCAATTAGCATTTTTAACTCTACACTCATCACGAGGTGGGTAAATCGTGTCCAATGATGATATATATGCTCCTTGGTTCACTAGGTAACTATCCTGATCACAAATACACGTTTTATTTTCAGTACATATTGTATTGCTGATTAAAACTTTGCAAAAATCATCATTAGTGCAGGACATTCCTAATTCAGCTGCAAAAGATTAACAATAAATGATCAGACAACCGATATTCGAATTGATTACTTACGTCGTATGCATTGATTGCCGTTGACAGCGACGTATTCTGGCCTACACTGGCATTTATTGTTGTTGCATATCGAATTAATGGGTTGGCAATCGCTATGTGTCGTACAGTAATTAACCAACAGTGATTCACATGAAGTGTTATTTATAACAGCTGTGTTGAGTGAACAAACGCAATATTTATTTTTCGAGCATTTTGCAAATCTCATTCTAGCACAATCTCTATCATAACGGCAACGCAAGCTCCCGATAACTGTAATCATCAACAAATTTTAAGTTTAGCGGTTATTTCATGCGAGACTACGCAGATTAAATTACCTGGTAAGCATTGATCTTCGCTTGCTGAGTAGTTTTTCCTGCACCTACACTCATTATCAATGCACAGACTATTTCTAGTTACGCATGTCTCGTTCTTCCAACACAATCCTCCCAATGATGGCGCACAGTATGTTTCGTTTAACCTGAGATTGTTCGCTCTGCAATCACATTTCTTCTCTGTAGAGCATTTCGCGTGCTTTATTTCCCAACAGTCTTCATCTGTGACGCAAGAGGCGCCTATTTCACCTGTATCAGAAAAAATAGTCATACCGCAAACTGATACAGCTTTGTAATCAGCAATTATGACTAATTAGAGTATTTATATTTCAAAAATTACTTACCTTTTTCTCCACACACAAACTCGCTTCTTGATTTCTTTAGCTTGCATGATAGGATTGAAGCACAGCATGGGTGCAGAGAGTGAGGATCACACTAAAAAAATAATTTAAAAATTACCAAATATATTATCTCGATATATAATTTTCTACGATGATACTTACTTCATGATTATATTGAGCACACTGATAAGAAGACCTATTGGTGATTCCATTTACTTCACTAATACACAATATTAGTGAAATTACAACACCACTTGAGATGTAAATGAAGTTATGGGCAAACATTGTCATTTCATTAAATTTAATTGAGAAAATTTAAGGAAAATATTATGAGCTATGAAGAACTTTGCAACGCTTTATAAAATTCTATTCTCTTTCGTTTACGACAGAGACATTAATAACAACTAAAATAGAATTTATTTGTGCAACAACATATACCAATAAAAATATGTCATTATTTTAGGATTGCTTCATCGATAGAAATTCCAGATATAAATTTTATCAATTTGCTTGAAAAATAAAAATTTATCAATTCAATAAAAAAAATAAACCACTTAAGGTTCTTAAAATAGGAAAGAATGGACAATTACGGCAATTGAAAAATTACTTCTATTATTTCATCAAAACGTTTATTTATTTCGTTAGATTGTTACTCAGTTTATAATTATTAAGACTTTAGTCAGGTAATATTGAAATATCAAAAAATTTTTCTTAAGGTTAACTTTAATTTTCATTGTGGAGAACGCAAAGATTGCTAGCAGCTTGTACATGATTAGGATTACATCCACATCGGTAATCGATGCAAACAGAGTTTTCAGCCAAGCATTGATTGTCCTTCCAACAATAGCCGTTGAGTAAAGGAAGACATGTCGAATTATTTAGTGCAAAATTATCCAGATGACAGACACATTTTCCATTTGAAGCACAATTCCAATGCCAAGAATCACTGCACTCAGAAGTTTCGTTACAAGAATACAGTGAATTCGCTGTCGAAAAAGTTTCAATGGAATATAAGTTAATTTGAGATTAAGTATTCTACAAAAATTTTGATATAGATGATCTCAAAATGATTAAGGACATTCATGCGATACGCTAGAGTCTTATGTTATCGGAACCTTATATCGTTCTCGGAACTTATATCGTCTTGGAACCTGATACTGTTTTTAGAACTTACTATTGTTCTCAGAATTCATATTGTTCTTAGAACCTAATACTGTTCTTGGAACTTTATATTGTTCTTAGAACCTACTATAGTTCCTAGAACCTACTGCTGTTCGTAGAACATAATGCGGTTCATAGAACCTAATATTGTTCTCGGAACTCATATTATTCTTGGAACCTAATATTGTTCTCAGAACTTGATGTTGTTCTCGGAACCTAATAGTGTTTTTAGAACCTTTAAAAACTATTAAAATTAAGCTTATTAAAACTAACAAATAATAATTTAGATCTCCAACTATTTCTTACGCATGAACGTCCTTACAATTGGATGAAGGAATAATACTTACTTTTTACGCATCTGTCAGCGGAAATGGCAGTGTAACCATGTATGCATTGACACTTACTATCCACACAACGGAATCCACCAGACATGCATTCTTTATCGCTAGAACAATGTGAATTGATTGTTGGCACACAAAGATATTTGCTAAATGCAAAATAGTTTGGAGCACAAATACAAATGCCATTTGATGAACATACAGAATTCAAAATAATTGAACAATCTTCCAGTTCGTTACATTGTTTGCCCAATGCGTCTACAAAAGTGATTTGGTTAGTTTTATTTAATTAATATTCAAGAGAATAATTAAAGTGATTAAAATTTCACTTGCTTGATTGACATTTAGAATTTGAAGGGTCAGCAGCGAAGAAATTCTTGCATCGGCACTTATTATCCATGCAAATAGAATTTTCAGCGTAGCAATCTGCATCTTGTTCGCAATTTTCACCTAAAAGAGCTTTACATGCTCTGGCGTTGACTGCGATGTATGCTTCTTGGCAAAAACATTTTTTGTTCGTAGAACACTGGGCATGCTGTATCATCATGCAGTCATCATTATTTTCACATGATTCTCCGAGATACACTGCTAGAAATATTACCGTCAAAAATAATAAATAATGAATATGCGAACACATACTTACAAGGGACACATTGATAATTAAAATTATCTTTATAATGTTGTTTGCAGTTGCACTTATTATCGTGACACAGTGTGTTTGCTCCCCAACAAGGATTATCATCTGAACAATATTCGCCTAAAAGGGCTGCACACTTTGTTTCATTTAAAGCAACATAGTTTTGATTGCAAGTACACCTACTTTGTTCAGAGCAGTATGAAAATTCAATTGTTTGGCAATCATAATCAGTTATACATTCTTGTTTCAAGATTTCTAAAATAAATCCATCACCATTGAAATAACGTCAGAAATTTGACAAAAAAAATAACAACTTACTCGAAAGGCACTTGTGATTGGATAGTGGCATATAATCTTTACGGCATTTGCAAACTTTATCAGAACAAACTGAGTTATTGACAATACATTCGGTATTTATCGTGCAACTGTTTCCCAGAAGGGAAAAACAAGCCATTTCATCAAATTTTCCGTAGTTTATTTTGCATGCGCACTTAAAATTTTTACATTCTGCATTTATTATCGCGCTGCAATCCGCATTATCTCTGCAATCTTGATCTAAAAACTCTGATAAATAATAATGTTAGTAAAAAATTAACGGACAGTTTGATAACATTTCAAGTAATCACTTACTTGGCCTGCAATTATATATCGAATAGAAACTATAGTCGTCTTTACATTGACATCTACCGTGAAAACACCTGGAGAAGTAAGGTTGACAATCCTTATCATCGCTACAACCTTCTCCAATCAATGACCCATAACAATTTTCGTCTTGAGTGCAGAATTTACCCGAGAAGCCTTTTGTAGAGTTATACCAACAAGTATTATAAAGGCAATTAGCATTTTTAACTCTACACTCATCACGAGGTGGGTAAATCGTGTCCAATGATGATATATATGCCCCTTGGTTCACTAGGTAACTATCCTGATCACAAATACACGTTTTATTTTCAGTACATATTGTATTGCTGATTAAAACTTTGCAAAAATCATCATTAGTGCAGGACATTCCTAAATGAGCTGCAAAAGATTTACAATAAATAATTAGATAACCGACATTTGAATTAATGACTTACATTGTATGCATTGATTGCCGTTGACAGCGACGTATCTTGGCATACATTGACATTTATTGTTCTTGCATATCGAATTAATGGGTTGGCAATCGCTATGTGTCGTACAGTAATTAACCAACAGTGATTCACATGTAGTGTTGTTTATAACAGCTGTATTGAGTGAACAAACGCAATTATTATTTTTCGAGCATTTTGCAAATCTTATTCTAGCACAATCGCTATCATAACTGCAACGCAAGCTTCCGACAACTGTAATCATCAACAAATTTTAAGTTTATAGGTAATTTCATGCACGATTACGCAGATTAAATTACCTGGTAAGCAGTGACCGTCGCTTGCTGAGTAGTTTTCCCTGCACCGACACTCATTATCAATGCACAGACTATTTCTAGTTACGCATGTCTCGTTCTTCCAACAAAATTCTCCCAATAACGGCGCACAGTATGTTTCGCTAAATCTGAGATTATTCGCTCTGCAAACACATTTCTTCTCCCTAGAGCATTTCGCGTGCGTTATTTCATTACAGTCTACATCTGAGACGCAAGAGGCTCCTAGTTTGGCTGTATCAGAAAAAATAGTCATACCGCAAACTGATATAGCTCTGTAATCAGCAATTATGACTAATTAGAGTTATTTTATCTCAAATAACACTTACTTTTTTCCCCACAGATAAACTCGTTTGTTGATTCCTTTAGCTTGCATGAAAGGATTGAACCACAGCATGGATGCAGAGAGTGAGGATCACACTGGGAAAAAAATTTATAAATTAATAAATATTATCCCGATGTATAAATATCTACGATGATATTTACTTCATGATTATATTGAGCACATTGATTAGACGACCAATTGGTGATTCCATTTGCTTCACTAATAAACAATATTAGTGAAATTACAACACCACTTGAGATGGAAATAAAGCTATGGGCGAACATTCTAATTTCATTCTATTGAATTAAGAAAATTAAAGGAAACTATGAGCTATAACGAATTTTGCAACGTTAATATAAATGAAATTATATTTTTATTCGTTTACGGCAGAAGCATTGATAACAACTAAAATAGAATTTTTTCGCGCAGCAACTAACAACCAATGGTACCATTGTCATTATTTTAGGATTGCTTCATCAACAGAAATTCCAGAAATAAATTTTATCAATTCGCTTGAAAAATAAAAATTTATCAATTTAATAAAAAAAATAAACCACTTAAAGTTCTTAAAATAGGAAAGAATGGAAAATTACGGTAATTGAAAAATTACTTCTATCATTTCATTAAAACATTTATTTATTTCGTAAGATTGTTACCCAGTTAATAATTATTAAGACTTTAGTTAGGTGATATTAAAATATCGAGAAATTTTTCTGAAGGCCATTTTTCTGAATAAGTTGTCACTATAGTAAATAACGACTCTTTCATCTTAAAAAATTACAGTTTCAAACAGTAAAAATTGCCATTTCAATATATAGTCCATATTATGAGGAGAAGGGGACCTCAGATGAGGAGAAGGGGGTCTCACTCTGGGAGAATTTAACATTTGAAACAGTAAAAATTATACTTTTAAAATATAAATTTTACGTCCAAGCAAGTCAATAATTACAGTTTGATTTTTAGCGTTGCGTTTAAAATTTACCATTTTACTTTGTAAATATTGACGTTGCTTGTATTAGAAATTTACTAACTTTATTTTATACTTTTTACAAATCATAAGATCATATTTTAGGTACGAAATGATAAATATCAAAGTCTGAATTGTTAATTATTATACTTAAACATTTTCGACATTTACATAGCGAATATTACTGTTTGAAATAGTATTTTCTTCCATGTAAAGAGTAAATTGTAACGTTTAAATGGTAAATATTATAAAGTGAATAGTAAAATCACGATTTTTAGTAGATTTTATAAAAATCTAACTATTGCAGCCGTCCTCATGGCGCAACTTTCATATATATATTTATACGATATAACGCGGCTTGTCAACACGATAACGTTTTCAATTTATAACCGATTCTTCTCAAACTCAACATGCTTCATTTATCGATCAAGACCAAGGTTAAGTTCGAAGATGAGCTTAATCGGGCGAGTAATTTGGAAATGAAAGGATTTTGAAATTTTGAAAATCGTAAAAATTGATGTTTTTACTACTTTAACTTGGTATAATTATTGAACTAGACAAGATATTGAAATTCGGTAAAATGCATCGTAAAGCTCTTTTAATAAGCTTCAATTTTCACTACTCAGAAGTGGTAATAGCCTCAATATTACTCCTTTTAGAGTTCGTCAAATGAAACAGTTTTACTGTTGCAGTCGTTTTAGAATTATTGTCTGCATCATAGCTTCATAATGATGTAAATTCAATAATTAGGATAATGATCAGTCTTCCGTGTAATCTTTTCGGGTAATGCGTCAGTTAATATGTCACAAATTAGTTCTATATATTGTTTTCTTCAATTAAAATTTTATCCGGTTTCAAAATTCTGATTGATTTGGAAACTGTTATTCCTAAGCAGTTACTTAAAATTTGGTCATTTATAATTCAAATCTTATAATCTTTGCAATTCTTTGGTAAATATTTGAGAAACTTTTTCTTCACAAGTTAATTTTTTTTTTTTAAAATCTGTTCTAAATTGTTTTAAATTCAGTATTGAATTTTGTTTTTAATTCATGAATTAAGGTATAAATTATTAGTGTTATTATATTATTTTATTAAAAATAATTTTTCTTCATTTGAAAAATCTACTTCCATTTCGGCTGCCGAATGGCCTTTTACTGTTTGAAATGGTAATTTTTAGCAGTTGATCATTACTTATTATAAATCGACTGCTATTTATTACAGTTTACTTTTTTCCGTGCAGCAATTATGACTAATTAGAGACTTTATTTCTCAAAAACTACTTACTTTTTTCTCCACAGTAGAAGTCGCTTCTTGATTCTTTCAATTTGCATGAAAGGGTTAAATTACAGCATGATTGCAGAGAGTGAGGATCACACTGGAAAAATAATTTATAAATTAATAAATATTATCTCGATATATAATTTTCTACGATGATATTTACTGTAAAATTCCATCCAGCACACCCACTAGGAGACTCATTAGTAATTTCATTTGCTTCACTAATACACAATATTAGTAAAATTACAACACCACTTGAGATGTAAATAAAGTTATGGGCAAACATTGTAATTTTATTTAATTTAATTGAAAAAATTTAACAAAAAAACTATTTTCTGGACTATAAAAAATTTTACGATCTATAAAATTTAGTCTTTATCTTCTTACGGCACCGTGATAAGTAACCGCTCAAATGAATACGATAAAAATTCTTCCAATAATTTTTTTATAAAACCTTTTTTCGTTAGAAGTAATAACACAATTTGTATTATCACACAATCGCTTTGTTTGCAGGAATTTCAAAGATTAGTTTTTTTAATTAATGAACTATAAAATGTTTAGTTTAGTTTTAGTTTATTTAAAAATTATGCCAAGGCAATTGCCAAATGGCAAAGAGTACATATACATACAGTTTTTACATTATTGTGCAGTTTAACTTATAAATATTTAGAATGTTTTATAAAATAATATTTTTAGATAAATGATAGTGACATATAATAATACTATATAAGTATAAAAAATTTTAATTTATAATGAATTAACTAACAAATTTTAATAATCATTTATGTTACTATAAATACAGGTATGAAACTTTAAATTATAAAGAAACTATATAATGAAGATTTACTAAAGCTTGAGGATTAATGAAACAAAAGATAGAAACATTAATAGTAGTTTGTAATCAAACATCTAGATTAAATAAATAATCAAAAATTTTGTTTTTGAAAACCTCCAAGCTTGAAGAATTTATAATATCCTCCGGTAATTCTTCCCATAATCGTATAACTGTTATTACAAAAGAAGACTCATATTGAGTGGTACTGAAATTTGGGAACTTAAAGAGGATATTATTTTTCTTGGCTGCTAGTCTCTCAGAGCGTCTTACACTGAGATCTTCCTGAAATAATTCACGCAAATAGCTAGGTTTACTAGTTTCTAATAATTTGTAAAAATAACAGCAAGTAAAATAAATTCGACGACTCTTTATCGAGAGCCATCCCAGTTCACGTCTATAAGGCGAGACATGTTCATCTCGCTTTAAGTTGAAGATGAAGCGTATTGCTGAATTTAATGAGCGTTGGAGTTTACAATTATTTTCATAATTTGAATTTAATAATACTATGGAACAATAATCAATTAATGGTAAAATAGTTGCCGATACAAGTAGTTTTTTAATTGATGAAGTGTAAATATTTCTACGTAATTTCAGGCTATATAATGCCGAATTTATTTTACTTATAGTTTTTGAGATGTGTAAGTTCCATGATAAATTATACATAAAATGAAGTCCAAGGCACTTGGTTGATTCAACATAAGGGAGAGGTACACCATCAATTTCTAGATCTGGAATACCTTCTCTCATAAGAGTTTTTACCTTGTTATTTGATCCTATTACCATTGCTTTAGTTTTAAGTATATTAACCTCTAACCCATTATCTCTGGCCCAATTTACTACTGCTTGAGCATCTAGGTTCAGTTGTCTAGTGGCTTCATGAATTTGATGACTATAACAATGTAAATAAATATACATGTCATCAGCAAATAAACCATGATTTGTATAAGCAAGTCGTTTAGCCGCAGAGTTCATAATTAATAAAAATAATATGGGTCCAAGAACAGACCCTTGTGGAACTCCAGAAGTTGTAGTTTCGAACCCAACTGGCTTACCATCTTCATCAAGTACAGCTTGAGATCTATCTGATAAGTAGGACAAAAACCACTTTACTGTCTCGGGAGAAAATCCTAATTCAATCAAGGTTTTTATGATGATTTCGTGGTTTACATAATCGAATGCTTTGGTCAAATCAAAAAAGACCAAAATGTCAAATTTAATAGCTTTTAAATCCATTATCTCTTATTTTTTTTTTTAAATTCAGTTATTAACGTAATTAAATTCTTTAACAAATTTTTTTATCCATATATTAATTACTTTTCTTATCAACTTTAATTACTTTAAGCAATGACATTGTCTATGTCGTTTTTATAACTTCCCGCTTAGAAAATCGAAGATTTTCAAAAATTGAGAAGTTATTGGTTTTACCTTGTTTTGAAAAAATCGAGTTTTCATCAGATCTCAACGTTTTAAAGAGATCCACGCGAAGTATTGAAATTTTTAAAACTTCCTGAAAATTTGTAAATTCAATCTACGTAGCCTAATAATTAATAAAAAAAATTAAAAAACAGATTTCCGGAATATTTAATAAAATAATTAGGTTTGAAAATTGTAATTTTTACATGTAGGTAAATGGAGATTCTACCAGCCGTGTATTTAGTTAAGAATTTAATGCAATTAACGATTTCAAAAAAATTTTATTTTCATTGAATTTGATTGAAAAAATAATAAGCTTTCGATTAAAACAATAAATAAAGTAGCTTTCCGAACGTATTACGGAGATATTTTATATTTTTTATGAAAAATCACTCGGAACTTGCGTTCTTTAAAGTCTTGTATTTGACTTGGCAACACCGCTTGCGCAGTTACCCATGCGCATAAGTTCCCGCGGTTTTTTAAATGCTAGAAGATCTTAGTCATTTTAGTTAGACAGTGAGCGTGTTCAGCCGAACTAAGTCCTGAGTAAACTTAGTAAGATATGTATAGTATAGTAGATAGATATATGTATAGCAGGGAATGCTTTGACTATACTTAGGCTAACTAAGTTTACTCAGGACTTAGTTCGGCTGAACACGCTCAGTAAACATAAATAAATTTGAAGGTTAGGGAACTCTTGCGGTGTTGTCAAGTGTATACCGGTAATTCAGAGTGCTATATTTTTTATTAGTCAATTAAATGTTAATAATTATTTAATGAGTAAACTTTTCGGAAATTTCCTCAAAAATGTTATTAATTAATTTAAAAATTAGTTTTAAGAACAAAAGTATTTCTAAGTATTATTTTTTTATAGACATTCTTTATACTAGGAGGGTACTTGGATCTTCTTAAACAATGAAATTGTTTATGTGATTTTTTTTTTTGTAATTTGGACTTGTTAAATTTTGATAAATAAAAATAAAAACCAGCTCCTAATTTTCAAATTTGACATTTTATTAAAATAACTGCTAATGCAATATTTAAATTTCCCGCTCAAATAAAAACTCACCATTTAAATTTAATCGCCCTCTTTAAAAATTTATTTATAAAAAATTTGAAAAGCTTTAAGCGCAATTTTTAAAAAATATTTTTTTGTACTAATTTAATAAATGAAAAAATTAAAAAATTAAAAATGTCGGCTTACTTTAGTATTAATACACACGGACTATTTTTCTTGGCGGAGTAAGAGATTATATTCAGTCCTGTTATAAATCTTACGTTTTAGAGGGGAAGAATCCGAACAAATTAATTTAATTTATGATTAAATTTTTAAAATTATAAATAATAAATTTTAATTAATATTATTATTTTTCTGTTGATAATAATATATTAATTTTCATAAAAATTTTTGAATTTCAAGGGAACTAACCTGCAGCGCCATCTTTATTAAAACTATAAAAAAAAACTCAGCCATTTTCAGGTAAACATAAATTCATTAGCTGTGCAAACGTTGTCGAGTGCAGGTGCGTAAATAACGAACAGAAGGAAGGAAAATTAAATAAGTCTTCAATATCAATCAGTAATAATTAATCATGTAAGTAAAATACCTAATTACTGAATTTAATAAATAATTTCTGTACAATTACATTATTTTAAATGAAAACGTAATGCTAACGTTAGCCGACGTTTTTTATTTTTTTGTTATTATTCATTAAATAATAACTAAAAAATTCCACTTATAGTTTTTTATAAATGAAATTTATTTTTAAATGATTTTTTCAATACAAAAAAATGATTAAAATTTTAAAATGTCGGCTAACTTAATTTTCATGAAAAAGTAAGGTTATAACTTGTTTATAGTTTATACTTACCACAAATTTGTTAAAAAAAATTGCAATTTCAATTTTTTGAAATTTCTACATGTCAATTTTTATCCTCATTTTTTCTTGCCATAATTTATTAGTTAAAAAAAATTGTTTTTAAAAAATAGCAATTTCAATTTTTCGAAATTTCTAAATGTCCATTTTTTGCCATAATTTATTTGTTAAAAAAAATTACAATTTCAATTTTTTGAAATTCCTACATGTCAATTTTTATTCTAATTTTTTTAACCATAATTTATTTTTTAAAAATTGCAATTTTAATTTTTTGAAATTTCTACATGTCAATTTTTGTTTTTATTTTTTTTTGCCACAATTTATTTGTTAAAAAAATTATCTGCTAAATTGAAATTACATTATAATTTATTAAAAAATTATTACATAAATTTTAATAAATTCAATTTTAATTCTCATTTTTTTTTTTTGCCATAATTTATACTTGTTAAAATAAAATTCTTAAAATTACTAAATATCTAAATAAATTTTAATTTATTTTCCAGAAAAACTAACTAAAAATGGCGAACCGGACAGTGAAGGACGCCAAGTCAATTCGTGGTACAAATCCCCAATATTTAATCGAAAAAATCATCCGATCGCGTATTTACGACTCCAAATACTGGAAGGAAGAATGTTTCGCTTTAACAGCGGAACTTTTAGTGGACAAAGCAATGGAGCTCCGGTACCTCGGTGGAGTCTTCGGTGGAAATATTAAACCGACTCCATTTTTATGTCTAATTTTAAAAATGCTCCAGGTGGAATTAATATAATTAAAAACGGCTGTAACTTTTGAACGGTTAAAATTATCAAAATTTTATGACACTTAGGAGCTTAAAATTAATTAATATCAATAAAAATAATTTTTCGATGAAATTAATAATTCAAAAAACGACTGTAACTTTTGAACTATTGATATTATCAAAATTTTATAAGATTAAATTTGTTGAAATTAAAATATTCTTTCCGATAACGTTTCTAAAGATACGTTTATAATTAATTTTAGAGCTTGAAATTAATTAATGTCAACAAAAAATTTTTTCGATAAAATTAATATCTTAAAAAACGGCTGTAACTTTTGAACAGTTGGTTATACAAAAATTTTATAAGACATAAAATTTGTAGAAAATTAATTTTTACTTCAGTTAAAGTTCTATTGCACTTGAATTATCTTTAATAACCCTTACAATCTTCAATTATAATTAAAAAAAGTGTATAAAAATTCAACGAGCGCAACCAGAGAATTGAAAAATTACAAAAAAAAATTTATTTAAAAGAGTTAATTAACAAATAGTCTGAAATTGAAGTGACATTAATTGTAGAAGTACTCAGAAAACCCTATAGAGCTTTTTAGCGGATCGATATGCTTCACAATTCACACCGAGCAGACGACTTTTTGTACCGAGTACAGAGTTTTGAATAATATAAAGCAATAAATTCACTAGCTAACGTACCAAGATATCAAACATGAAAAAAGTAAGATACTTTTTTAGAAACTGAACTGATAAGCATGTGAAGTATGAGATCCCTGAAACATGAACCTAATCTAACCTCCAGAATATAAATATATATAGCAATAGTTATATAAAAACATGTAAGAAAGTATGCCGAGAGACGATTTCGCGATATCTGACCGAGTTTGTGTGCTCATGCCTCTGCAGAAGATGCACGTGTACAAGAAAACGCTCCAGGCGATGATCTACCCAATATCCTCGACGACGCCTCACAACTTCGTAACCTGGACCGCCACCTCGCCGACGTACTGCTACGAGTGCGAGGGATTGCTCTGGGGAATTGCTCGTCAAGGCGTGCGCTGCATGGAATGCGGTGTAAAGTGCCACGAAAAGTGCAAAGATCTGCTCAATGCTGACTGCCTGCAGAGTAAGTTAAAAAGTAATACCAATTTTTTATATACTTATTCAATTAGTAGATGATCGACTAGATTACATCTGCCATTTCACGCATTAAAAAAAAAATAATATTGATATTATTTTTAATTTTTTAATGATTTTATATCAAGCCGATAAAAATTATTGTATACTGTAAGTAAAATAATTTTAATAAGTTAATTCAATTTTTAAGCTTGTTTAAATTTTCCCGCGGATAGTATTTGGTTTTATAAGAATTGAACGCCCTCTTTCGTTCCAATGTGAATTATAAAAAAGGACCAATTAAAGACTGACCTTCGGTCAGTTGAAGAACACAATTGAGTATAGTATCAGCTGTCTTAAAGCTCTATTTACAAATAAATTTTTCTATATGGCTTAAAGGACAGAAAATTTCTCTGCCAGCCGAACAAAAATTAATTATAATTAAACAAAACAATATTAAGCTGCAATTTTCAATCTTTTACTTCCTATTAGGTAGATGAAGAGATTAAAAAATAAATTGAGTTGAAAAATTTATTTTTTCAAAAGTTATCGTGTTTGTCCCTCCATAAAAATTTGAAAATCTACATTATAAGCCATTAAAACCACTTTTTTTTTTTGTAATAATAGCAATAAATCGACGAATTTCCTTTCTAATTATTCTTTCCGTATTATTTATACCTACAACATATCTATTATAACAAGTTAATATGACAAAAAGCTGAAATCTTGAGTTTTCGGCAATAATTCCGCGCTCGCGCTTAGAATCCAAAAATATATGACAAATTACATTTTTTTTCAAAAAATATTATATCTGTAGTAATCTTTGATGATCGAACAAAGACTTGCAATATCAAAAATTAATTATTTATTCATGATCGCTACATAAAAACTGGATTAATACACCTCGCTGAAAAGTTCGCTTTTTCAATTTTCTATAAAAAAAGTCAATCCATCGATCAAGTTAACCCAATTTGTCACAAATAACGTAATTTAAAACTTAAAGTCGGTAATTAAAAGCTCGACAAAGCGGATTAAAAGTAGACGACAGCATAATATTGTGTTAAACATAAAGTTAAATGCGAGTAAAACGTGATTAAACTGCGAAGGCGATGGAATGGTAATTAGGAGTATTGAAAATAATCAGTAGGCGTAACAAGGAGTTTATGTTAACGTTTGCGAGGCAATAGCATTCATGGCGCATTGCACTAGTTTCATGTTAGTTTGTTAGCGAGTATTGTCACATTATTAAGTGGATAACGTGACTGAATTAATTAATAACTTTTCTTACAGGGGCCGCGGAGAAAAGTTCCAAGCACGGGGCCGAAGACAAGGCCAACAGCATCATAACCGCCATGAAGGAACGGATGAAGCAGAGGGAGCTTGAGAAGCCTGAAATTTTCGAGCTTATTCGGTTAGTAGTTTTATTTTATTTTATTTAATATTTTTTTTTAGATTGTCAATAATTAAAACAATATTAATTAATGCAACTGGTGACTTGATCGCTATTAGTAATTCCTATAAAAAAGTAATAAAACCCGGTGAATTCATGTATCGATCCCACGCGAGAATTAGGTCACGTTTATAAAAAATTTCTAGCATTCAATTCCCGATTGGACAGTATATAGAAATAGTAATTATCGAAAAATGTCCGTTAAATTTTTCGGAAATTGCTCTTTGGATGTTTAGAGCTTGGTAAATTTAACCCTCCAAATATAGAGGGAGCTATTGGAAATTATCATTAAACTTGCGATAAGTTCTACGCAAACTAGCCTTTAGGGTTAGAGTAAATATTTATAAACACATTGCGGGATATTTGAATATTTTAATATTTATAAGATGGCTAGCGGGAAAATTCAACGGTTAAATTCCTACATTGACATTATATAAATTATTAATTATGAATTGTGATTTATGGAGGAAAATTTTGTCAAGTGGAATATTGACATGCTTGAGGATTTCGAGAGGACAATCATCAAAATTATGTTTATTTATGAATTTTTAGAGGTTTTGTTACTTTTTCAGGTTAGGAGCTGCAGTTAAGTTTTGCAGAACCAAAAAAATTTTTTTTGCTCCAATCAATGTAAAAATGTTGGAAACATTAACATCTATGGAAAAAACGAAAAAAAAGTTAGGAAAACGGTTGACCCTAAAAGCCATCTACAACTTTCCGCTAATTCCATACTGAAGCACACAAAATTGCACTTATTACGTTTTTGAGCTCTTCGAGCTCAAAAATATAATTTTCGTATAATTTTGAGCTCTCCAAGCTCAAAAGTCTATTAAAAGATTAATAAAACACTATTTTTTGAATTTTCAAACCGCAATAACTTTTGAATAGATGAACCGATTTTTACACGGTTGGCGGCATTCGACGCAGTTTTTTAAGCTTTATAAAGAATCTTTAATTTTAATTTGATCGAATTTGAAATTTCGGAGTAATTCCAAAAAAACACTTTTTTTTTGTTTTCTTTAATTTACGATAACTCACGAACGAATTAACCGATTTTGACCGGTTTGGCGGCGATCGACGTGATTTCTTGATATTAAGAACTAATTAGTTTTTGGAATTGATCGGTAAAGCCGTTTGAAAGTTATTCCGAAAAAACCGCATTTGAAAAAATTATTTTATAGTTTTTTTGAGATTTCTCAAAATCTACTGGTTCGAATCGATTTAAATTATAGTCAAAATTTAATTTTGGTCAAGCCCTTTCTAATGGCGCCAACGGCGATAAAATCGATCAAGCCGTTCAAAAATTATGAGAGGAAAACTCGATTTTCAAAAAACGCGGGAAAACCTATAACTTTCCAACTTTTTAAAATTTTCAATTTTCTTAGCGGGAAGTTAAAAAAAATTTTTAAAATTTTTTTTTTCAACTTGATAATAATAAAAAAATAGAACTAATACCCTGATGAATTTATTTTTTCATTCGTTTTTTTACTTAAATAAATATTAAAATTGTGGAGTGATAATTTCTATTACCTTTGCAATTTTTTTTCTTACTCTGACCTATAATTGATAATAAACTGAAAAAAAACAGGATACGTCCTTATGACTTTATAAAAGTTTTTTCTTAAAACCTTAAAAGGGTATAGAAAAAAAATTTTTTTTCGTTTTCTCTATAGATGTTAATGTTTCCAACATTTTTACATTGATAGGAGCAAAAAAAATTTGGTTTTATGGCCATTATGGTTTTAGTAACGCGATATATTTAATAAACTAGATTTTTATTCATCAATAACAATTTCTTAACTTAATTACAATTCATTACACTTTTTAACTTCCTGAAATTTCAAACCTAAAATCTGATAAAAAAAAGTGAGTTTTGATAAAGCTTCAAAATAATAATTTTAAACCTCCATAAAATTAGCAATTGTAAACCAAAGTCCATTGAAAATAATAAATTCCGAGCCCGCTTATCCATGAAGCGGTTGAAATATTTCACTTTAATCAAAACTCCGTATAATGTACTCAATATATCAATTGATTACATCGAAAACGCAGCCTATTTACGATCGCATTTCAAAAACAATACAACGTATTTGTCGGGTGAATTTAACAGTAGATAAACAATCCCTCAACAATATCCGCGTGCAATAATTAATACACCTTTCAATTATGATTTATGAATTATAAATATTAACGGATAACCATCTAGGATCGAAAAAAGGAAAAAAGTTGCTCCAAAAGTTAATTAATAGCGATCAAGCGGCATTAACATGAATTAATTTGCTCTCTTCCTCAAAACTTAACTCATAAATTGAGTAATAAATCATCAAAAGACATGTCGTTAATATTTAACACCAGTAATACCGTAAAATATCAAATTGAGGAACATCTAATCTATTGGAGATTAAACATATAGATTAAACTTATAGATGACCTTACGTCGAAGATCGAAATTAACAAGCGGGGAAGAGAGCAAATTCAATTAAACTTGATGAATATATGTATATGCTAAAATAATAACAACTGGTGAGTAATTAATAGTGAAGTTTACGGTTAAACTAAACGTGACTTCGGAGTTTAGGTCAGTATTTGGAATCGACGACAAAGAGCACCAGAAATATTTAACCTCAGTGAAGCAATCAGTGCTGGACGGCACCAGCAAGTGGTCCGCTAAAATCGCCATCACAGGTTTGTTCCTGATAGGCTCATATTAATAGTATCTACATGTGTTCGTACCAGGATATAAGATATTCCAATTCAATATTAATTAATCTTAATAATTGTAATCAAGCTTCGCTCCGAGGGGCCTGGCTGACCGGCTGGTTGCAGTAACATGTGTGCTCATTTGTGTTTTTTTTGTCGCCAACAACCATTTGTTGCCGTGATAAAAAGGGGTAGTGCTAATTGCAATTGATATGTCGATAAAGATTAATTTGGGTGGTTAACTAGAAAACATGTTGCAACAAATGAGTAATGGAAAAATTAGTCAATTGCAATAACAAAACAGTCTAAGGAGATCTAAGTAAAGTACAAATTTTGCAGTAGAAAAATTTTTGAGCGTTTTGAACTTTAATATAACAGGAAGTTCCAGGGATAGCTGCGCAAATGGTTGTTGTAGCAGTCGTATATGTCGCTAATTATTATTATTAATTATTTTTGTACCGCTGGATAAATCCAATGCCGATTTTTGATCCGATATTAGGCAACCTTTTTTTGAGTGTTAATTTTTTTCTTAATTAATTAATAGTGCTCGTTTTTGTTGACCATTAAATATTGATACTGCTGTACGTATAATTGTTTTTTATCCGTATTTATATTTTCAGTGTTGCCAATCCAATAAAAAACAACCAACACAAACAACTTTCCAGACTTGTTTTGTATTTAGGGACCTTCAATATATATATATATATATATATATATATATATATATATATACTCATAAATTAATAAATAAAATTAGTTACTATACACTTGACAGTAGATATTATCGCCGATAAATAACCGAGTTATTCAATTGATAAAATCTCTAAGCGGATTTGCATAGTGCTGATGTTTAAATTTACAATCGAATTGGGAATAAACTAAGCTTGTTAGTGAATTCCAATTCACGAAAGTGGTTTAAGTCGTCGGTAAGACTTTAGTTATCCTTAGTTGCCAAACGGAAGTGTGTTGATCATAGTGGTGATGATGAATTTGGGTTATTGAGTCACACTGTTATATTCGGATCTTGTTATTTCAGCTGAGCTAACTCTGAGCAAGAGACAATATCGCGATTGAAATAGTTCATCTCGGGTCTCGAAGAGCACAGACAGTGTCTGTGCTTCAGGAGACTCTGTGATCGATAAGACTCTGAAGAGCAGTACTACTATACCGTCATTCATGCCCAGAAGCACAACTAGATCTTATAGCCGAGAGTAATCTCGGCGGACTTACCAATCCCGGTTTCAAAGCTTGCTATGGATTTTCATTCATTCGATTTAACTTTCACCTACCGCTAAACTCATCTTGGGGTTATTAATTCATTTTGACTTACTGGACATCCATTTTAATTAAGCTGGTGGTGCTTTTCTGTTTTCAATTACGGAAGCTTTCCTTAATTAAAGTCTGATGGTTTTCAAAGAGCGAAAAAATAGTATATTGATTTTTAAATACAAAAATACATTTTTTAATAATGTTAAATTTACGGATATTAATATGGAAAAATGACATTATTAAATAATGTTATAAGGTAAAGTATCCAGTAGTTGAACATGTTTTAATGTAAAAAATATTTGACTCTACTTTTAATATATAAAGATGTAATTATTAATTTAAATTAGTGATGGATTGAAGCGCAAAATAACAAAGATGAATATTTACACGGAAAAAAGTAAACTGTAATATTCACCCGGATTCCGATTAATTTTTATAGTTTCAAACAGTAAAGCGAAAATCGGGGTGGCAAAAATATAAATATTATAGAACTTAATGTAGAAAGTATAAAAGCCAAAATTTATAATTTAATATCCAAAATAAGTGATAGTTGTCACTATAGTAAATAACGACTCTTTCATCTTAAAAAATTACAGTTTCAAACAGTAAAAATTGCCATTTCAATATATATAATCCATATTATGAGGAGAAGGGGGTCTCACTCTGGGAGAATTTAACATTTGAAACAGTAAAAATTATAATTTTAAAATATACATTTTACCAGTCCAAGCAAGTCAATAATTACAGTTTGATTTTTAGCGTTGCGTTTAAAATTTACCATTTTACTTTGTAAATATTGACGTTGCTTGTATTAGAAATTTACTAACTTTATTTTATACTTTTTACATATCATAACATCATTTTTTAGGTACCAAATGATAAATATCAAAGTCTGAATTCTTAATTATTATACTTAAACATTTTAGAGATTGACATAGCGAATATTACTGTTTGAAATAGTATTTTCTTTCATGTAAAGAGTAAATTGTAACGTATAAATGGTAAATATTATAACGTGAATAGTAAAATCACGATTTTACTGTTTGAAATGGTAATTTTTAGCAGTTGATCATTACTTATTATAAATCGACTGTTATTTATTACAGTTTACTTTTTTCCGTGTATATTTTGACAACGTTTTTAAGATAGACCAAAGGAGTAGTGGTCGAACAATCAATTCTGACAAGCAGTAGTTGAACACTTCGGGAGCAGTAGTTGAACTAATAAAATATATGGCAATAGGCACACCAAAAATTTTCAACGTTTTATTGAAATATCTAAAGAATTATAACATATTATTGATTAATATTAAAAATAATACTATGAATATTTAATGTGTTCATTTAAAAATGAAAAATATTTGTAATATTTTTTAATTACATTTTTTATGAATGACAAAGTAAATTTTCAATTATAAATCAAAAAAACTCTATTCAAAACGTCAATTAATTTTTAACTACACTAATTTTTAGCTGTAAAACTTATTTAATTTGCAGTAATTAATACAAATCACAATACTAATCACTAGTCTGTAAACCTATTAGAGATTAGAGTGCTGTTAAAATTATACAGCCCCAGCTTGTTCAGGTTATGGGTACCGCTTTGAAAATTTGGAGGTATATTTAGACGCTAAAATTTAATATAAAAATTATAGTTTATGTCTTTGCAAAAAATATGTATTATTTAGAAAAGACTATTTCATTGGGTACAATTTTTTTTACTTAAAATGATATACCGTTTTTTTACTGATTTTTCGGTTTACGGTTTAGTACCTTTTTCATGAAAAAAAATAGCATCCATCGGATATTCTCATGTCAACTTTTAAGTTAACAAAAATACAATTGTTTTGATTTATAATTGAAAAAACTTACAGAAATCAATTACTGTATCATTGAATAATTATAACATGCTTATATTACTCAAAATAAATATACGGATTTTGTATTACAACAATTCTAAAAGTCTATTCAAGTACTGGTCCCAATTTTATAAGTGTTCAACTACTGGGTACTTTACCTTATTCTCAAAAAATAATGTTAATTACAGTACCAAGTTTAATTTTCACATCAAACTACGTCAGAAAATTTTCCTACGTCCCATTATTAGATATATTTCTTACCCAGCTGTAAAATAATCGCTATGTAATATCTCTAATAGCTTAGCTATAAGCGCTCTCAACTCTCACCCAAAAAAACCAGGTTCGATTCTCGGCCCAGGCTCTCTAACATATTTTTCTTCTTCTACATTTTTTTTTTCTCCATTTTCCAAACTTTATTATCAAATAATAAAACAATCTCTAAAAAAAAAGCAAAATTATTCGCTGAAAAGCACTAACTCCGTCCCTAGTTCGATAAAAACAGCTATAATCATAATTAAATTCATAACCAGCGATATATCTTGATATTTACCGGGATTTAATCAGCTGCTGGCGCCCAGCCATCAGATAAGCTATAGCTTGAGCGGTCTGAGCAACAAGTTTTCTTATTCTAAGCCATAATTCGATCGAACAGGTGTCTAATTCAAAAGTGACCTCCAGGATTTCGTTTTCTTCAGCAAGAACTTCTCTAGATTAACAATTTTGTTTTCAGCAACGCCTGTCGAACAGTCGCTACAGGTAGTCTGTACACAGTCGTTGATGACGAGGTCATTGTATTATTTTCAGCACGACCTTTTCAGTCGACCCGGATACACACATTGACAGCCTAGAGCAGGCGGAGATGATCGTCCTCGAGGGTACCAGCAAGTGGTCGTGCAAGATCGCCATCACAGGTACCCCATAATAAACACACTGACTAAATCACACTATTTTCATCCAGCTCAATAATAATAAAAATAATTATTGTTCTTATGTTTTTTATAATAAAATCCCGGGGTATTATTATCGGATATTTATTATTAAATAATTAATATATTCTGACACACGCATTTTATTTATTACAAGGCTTCGCTTTGTGTGACGATACGATAAATAATAAATAACTAAACAGTGTTTAAAGAGGACGTACGCCAGTAGGTAAAAGTTAAATAATAAATAAAAACAACAATGAATATTCCTTGGTCTCATTTTAAGCAACGCCCGTAAATCGATACCTTTATGTTGGCAGGTGCAGCGCTTTGACCTCACATCTCTTCTTGGTATTTGTTATATTAATTATTTAAAAATAATTTTATTATTAAAATTATTAAGGATAGGGATAATTTATTTTTGATTGTTAAGTAATTATTCATTTTTAGTTCGGAGAATTTTTCGATGAATTATTAGGTTTTAATTGGGATGATTTACGGGGGTTAGATTTTTGGGGTAAGCTAAAACGAACGGGGGATCAATAAACACGAAGAAACCCGGTAGTTGACGGCTGACAAAGTAGATGACGAGGAAAGGAAGCCAAGGGGTTAAGCCAGCATTTAAATTACCAGTTAAATTTATCAAACCCGTCGGAGCTATTATCTCGTTTTTTATTTTCTCCGTAAATTACTTGGGAGATTTTATGCTGCTTCTTTTATTTTTGTTGCTTTTTAAAATACTACCTCGATTTAATTACTACCTTTTTTTTTGGATTATGTTTTATTTTAAGAAGGGTTATTTTTAAATTTTAAGAGTTTTTTTATTTTGATGATATTTAGAAGGAAAATTTATTTTTCCATCTTACGGCGAGAAAAAATATTTTTTTTTGTTTCGATTTTATTTTAAAAATCAAAAAAAAAACTTTTTCGTAAAAAAAAAATTTATTCATCTTACGGCAAAAAAAGTTTTTTTATTTGTTTTAATAGTTATTTGGAATTAAAAAAAAAAAAATTTTTTTCATCTTACGGCTAAATCCTTCTTACGGCAAAAATGTCCATCTTACGGCAAGATATTTTTTATGTTTATTTTCGTTTAAACATAAAAAAAAAACTTTTTCAAAAAAAAATTATTTTTTTCCATCTTACGGTTAAATCCTTCTTACGGCAAAAATATCCATCTTACAGCGAGAAAAAAAAATATTTTTTTCAATTTGAACTTTATTTTGAAAAGTAACAAAAAAAAATTCAGTAAAACATTTTTTACCTTCCGAATAAATCCATCTTACGACAAAAATATCCATCATACGGCAAAAATGTCCATCTTACGGCAAGAAAAAAAATTTTCTAGATATTTACTTCGTTTAAAAATGAAAAAGAATACTTTTTGAAAAAAAAAAAATTTTTTTTTTCATCTTACGGCAAAAAAATGTCCATCTTACGGCAAGAAAAATTTTTTTTTCTCAAATTCTACTTCTCGTTAAAAATCAAAACGATAACTCATGTCAAAGAAATTTTTTTTCTAACTCATAACATAAAACAAAATAAACTTTCTCATTACATCAAACCACTCGAAAACTTATTTAATAATAAATGTGTAAAAGTATTCGTAGAGTTTCCGCTATAAAAATTTATAAACTTCTAAATCCAGGCGTAATAAAAATAAACGTCAGGCGAAAAAAAAAAAAAAAAAAAAGGTAAAAGCGGTGAAATAAAAATCGAGCACGATAGCCACAGCGGAAGAGGGTAACAGTTGGCGTTTCTTTCCGCCCCAGTAATCAAATCTCTTGATTCACTTCCGATTAAAATATATACCTATATATCTATATATATTTAAAGAAAATCCGCAAGCTAAGCCAAGTGATTTTTGTTTTAGCTTTGATAAAAAAAAATCACTCGAATAAATTTGCAACTTTCTTTAAACTTCAATAATAATAATCATAATAAGATGGTAATATGACCCAAAATTTAAATCGAATTCGAGATAAATAAATCATTAATCGACTCGGTTAAAGACCAAAGATAACTCCATCAATCACAGGCGGTAAACATCACTCTGGGGACAAATACGCGTATGATTATTCCCGAAATCAATGAGGATGTTAAACAGTTTTGTGCTGGTATCCTAAGCACATTGTCCTCCCAAACTCCAGATAGTTTCTCGCTTGACTCCACTTCTCAATCACAAACATACGCATATACATACATACTATGTTTACATACCAATTAAACATACACGATATCTGTAACACACCAATATGGTAATTAATAAACCAAACCACCCAGAGGACCATAAACACTAATCTTAAGCTTATTGATTTTACTTTTTAATATTTTATCCATTTTATCCATTAAAATTGGTTATTAATGTATATTGGTGATGCATGTATATGTTTTGGTCATTCAGTCATACGCACTCATGCACAAACATTTTTTATATTAGTCATTTTTTATTTTATATTGCACTTAGATGTTTCATATTTATAGAATTACGTATTTTATTGTTTTGCCGTAAGATGGATTTTCCATCTTACGGCAATTATGAAGAAGTATTTAGTTGTCGCCATGATATTAACTTAATATAGTAAAAAAAGTTGTACGGGACAATTAAAAACTTCATTCCATCTTACAGCATAATAGGTAATCCATCTTACGGCATATATAGAAAAATTAAAAAAAAATTCTTTCATTCCAAATATATTTTACACTTCATTCCATCTCACAGCGGAACAAGGAAGTATTGATAATTTCATTACATCTTACGGCGTATTGTGACACAAAATTTATAATATAGAATTTTGTTAGGGCGTAATATGAAAATTTCCAATAAAAAATAGTATTTTTTAACTTCATTTCATCTTACGGCAGAATAATGAAGAAATATTCATTTTTTGAGGAATTAATTCCATCTTACGGCGTATTTTTAACCAAATTTTGTGCAAATCACTTAAAAATATCAATAATTATTATAAAATAGTTATCTACAAAATTTGTTTCATATTTCACTTCATCTTACAGCATAATATGCAATCCATTTTACGACAAATCACTCCATCTTATAGAAAATTTTCAATCAATTCTTTCATTCGTAAATAATTTATACTTCATTCCATCTGACGGCATATTTTGACATAAAATTTCATGTTACTGCGTGATATAAAAATTTTCTATAAAAAATAGTATTTTTACACTTCATTTCATCTTACGGCAGAACAATTAAGAGATATCCATCTTTTAAGGAATTAATTCCATCTTACGGCGTATTATAATAAAATTTTGCGCAAAATATCTAGAATTATAATAAAATAATTATCTAGAAAACTTCTTTCATATTTCATTTCATCTTACAGCGAAAAATGGATGTACTTCACTCCATCTTACGGCATAATATTAAATTCATATTACAAATCACTCCATCTTACGGTGAAATATAAAAAAATGTCAATTAATTCTTCCATTCGAAAATAATTTACACTTCATTCCATCTCACAGCGGAACAATAAAGTATTAAGGATTTCATTACATCTTACGGCATATTTTGACACAAAATTTACAATAAAAAATTTCATATTACTGCGAAACATAAAATTTTCAATAAAAAATACTATTTTCACTCTTCATTTCATCTTACGGCAGAACAATGAAGAAATATCCATCTTCTGAGAAATTAATTCCATCTTACGGCGTATTATAACAAAATTTTGCGCAAAATATCTAGAATTACAATAAAATAACTATCTACAAAATTTTTTTCACACTTCATTTCATCTTACAGCAAAAAAAGGAAGTATTTCACTCCATCTTACGGCAAACAAATATCCAAAAATAATAACCGCTGTAATTTCTTATAAAATTATAAAAATCACGCCGCGCTTTTTGCACGCTTAAAAAAATCGTCAGAATTTTTAATAAATGTGTGTGTCGTCGTATTTATATCTAAAAATTGAAATTCATAAGCATGTGTATTGAAAATTTTAATTTCTGCGCAACGCATAGTGTTAAACTTAACCGATAGAACTTTATTCAACAAAACAATAACTACTCCAAAGAACATAATGTCTGAGACGAAGACAGTAGGTCAAGTGGAGTAGACACTAGAGTCTGCATTATTACAGTTGTTGTGACTCGATTAGTGTTTCGAAACTGGCATTAAGGGGCAGAAGGAGTTGAGAGGGTGGTAAAACTCACTCGTCAGCTAATTCGAAGGACCAACCACCGGACTTTTTAACTCAACTATCATATCTAGCATCTAGCTCTATCTTCTGTTCCACTAGGACCACCAGGACCACTCAGGGTGAAGGAACCACTATATTACAGTTTACCAACTCCCATTTACCAGCAAGACAACTCGCCCGACTTTCGTGGTCTATTCCACTCTGATCCATTCTAACTTGAATTTAAGCTCCAACTTAAACTACATTTTGTCTTAATTTGCTTAAACAATATGCGTTGTAAAATGCAGGAATAAAAATAATACATTTTTTTTCTTTGAATCCCTAATTTTGTGCTAACGATACATTTATTTCTAGTTATCTCCGCGCAAGGACTTATCGCCAAAGATAAAAGCGGCACTTCGGATCCTTATGTCACTGTTCAAGTTGGAAAAGTTAAGAAACGAACGAGAACGATAACTCAAGAACTGAATCCTACTTGGAACGAGAAATTTTATTTGTAAGTTTTTTATCTTAATTTACATACTTTATAAGGTTTTATGCCAATTGCGGTTCTTAAGACACTAGTACGATCTTATACTGCAAAAATATAAGCAAAAGAGGATTGCTACCCAAAAAATATCGCTAAAAAGCGGAGTATTAATGCCTAAAGAAAGACCAGGAACATTCACAATTGAAGATTATTAAAGGATTGCTTTACAAAAATTGGATTAGATTACCCAGCTCAAGAGGCTATTGTAAAGAAAATAAGGACTTTTCTTCTATATTTTTTTTTTACTCAAATTATATGTTTGGATGGCCTAAGAATGAAATTTTAATGATATTTTTATTATTAAACTACAAAAATCCATATCAAATATTCAATATGGCTGTCAGGCTATCCTAGAGCGCGAAATTTTAAAAGTTTGAAATATATTTAATCATTTTTTAAAAAAGTGAATTTTTTCTCAATGTGAATCTTACAAAATAGTTTCAAAAACAGTAGAGAGAAAAAATTGGGTAATTTTTGAGAATTCCAAAAGGAGTCAAATAAAATTGAAAAAAATTTTACAATCTTATAAAAATTCAGAAAAAAATTTTTCGTTGCTCATTTTGCGTTTTATAGTTCAATTTTTTATTTTCTTCCTTTATTATGGTATTCATTGATGCAGCATTATTTTCATGTTTTATAATCAAAAACAATTTTCTTTATAAGCCTTTTTGGCTTTAAGAAAAATTTTCCTAAAGCCAAAAGGACGTACACCTTCAAGATGCGCCCTTTTGGCGTTAGTAACTCAAAAATTTTTCCTATTGATCGTGACCTTTTGGACGATTTTGAGCTGATTGGCAGAAAAAATTTTTTTGTACGCTATTTTGGCACAAAGCCCTATCTTACTGTAGGAGTACGCTCTTTTGGCATTTGTCACGCGATATATTACTCATGCTTTTGTTGATAATTTTGATTTTTTTAGATTTAGTCTTGTATTCTACGGCTTAATTGATTTAATGTACCAAATAAATAAATTCTATGCACATCTCAAATAATATTCAGGATTAATTCAAGTTTTTTAGGTAATAATAGTGTAACTCAATTTTTTCAACAAGATGGCAGCCAAATGAGTGAATAAAATGGCGGCAATCTCAAGTTTAATGCAATAGAGAACTTGGATTAATTTTTTATCAAAGAAGAATATTCTAATAATTTTTTTAAACAATTTAATTTTTTCTAAATTGATTTTAAAAATATTTATATATTTCTATACTCTTGTATTTGCTATATTCAGATTATATATCACAAAAGAGTTGAATTTAACCTAAAAAAAAATATTATTGTCAAGTAATTCAAAAGATAATTTTTTTTTTTTTTTTCCTAATTAATGCAAAATAATTATAATCTCGGAACAATTTTAAGTATTTCTCCAGTATAATTAAAAATTTAGTACTATATTAACAAAATTTGTTCCAGCGAGTGCCACAATTCATCAGACCGCATAAAAGTCCGCGTGTGGGACGAAGACAACGACTTGAAATCAAAACTGCGGCAGAAACTAACCCGGGAGAGCGATGACTTCCTGGGACAGACGATCATTGAGGTGCGAACCCTCAGCGGAGAAATGGACGTCTGGTACAACTTGGAAAAGCGAACCGACAAAAGCGCAGTCTCGGGCGCCATTAGACTCCACATCAGCGTGGAGATTAAGGGAGAGGAGAAGGTGGCGCCTTACCACGTCCAGTACACCTGTCTCCACGAGAACTTGTTCCACAGCCTTTGCGAGGGAAATGACGGCAATGTGAAGCTACCCCAGGCAAAGGGCGACGACGCCTGGAAGGTCTACTTCGAGCCTCCTGGAGAAGAGCTCGTGGATGAATTCGCGATGCGCTACGGAATTGAGAGCATATATCAAGCCATGACGTGAGTGGTTTCTTGATTGCAACAAGTTTAATGTTGCTAAGTTTGGTCATGACTCATGACTCATAATAATGAATATTTGAATGTTCCAGGCACTTCCACTGTTTGTCAACCAAGTACCTGTGTTCAGGAGTTCCGGCAGCGATGTCAGCGCTTCTGGCGAACATTAACGCTTACTATGCACACACGACTGCGTCATCAGCTGTCTCGGCTAGCGACAGATTCTCCGCTAGCAATTTCGGGGTAAGTGTTTCAATTCTAAGTTTATCCCGTAGATGGCGCAATGGGAAGGAGAAGGGAGGGGAATCTTCTATTTCCATGTTCCTTGTGACGCTTTAGCTGGAGCTTTAAGAGACTGGGTACTGGATGATACTGGTGAGGGGTGAGAAATGCTGCAATTTCCTGGGAAACAGCTCCATCCGTTACTCAAGAACTGTTCGGCTGGTTTCACAATGCACCCAAAGCGTACTTCAACCCTATCAATTCCCCCGGCTGTCTGACCTACCAGAGTTATTTCGTTTTCGTGTCACATTCATTCTGAATACGCCAACAGGTGGCTCATCTTCATTTTCTACACATACATCCTGGTTTTAATGGACGTTTTTATTTATTGACCTTTTATTTCTTATCACAAAGTTCACTTTTTAAATTATAACAATACTGATAATTACTGAGAATAAGATAGTGCGAATTGTTAATAGAACTTGATGAAACTTTGGATAATAATTCTTTAGAATATTATTTTGGATTAGTTCAAAGATGAGCAAAATCGGGAGATTAGTTTTGAAATTACGGAAAGTTAAAGGTTTAAAAGGGGCCAAAATCGGTCAGAAAATCCAAGGCAATAATGTCCATGGTAATAATATCCAATTGCAAATAAATCCAACATAAAAATGTTTAAAGACAAATATATCCAACGTTATCATTATCATGACGATCATGATGATCATGAATCATGATTATGATAAACATGATTATGATTATGATGACGATCATGATGATCATGATATTAATCATGATTATGATGATCATGATGATGACGATCATGATGATCATGATATTAATTATGATTATGATGATCACGATTATGATGATCATGATGATCATGGTGATGATGACGATCATGATATTAATCATGATGATGAGCACGCAAAAAATTAGAGGGGTCCAGGGGCAGAGCCCCGGTGGGGGCGAAACCCCCCAGTTGAAAAGTCAACAGGCCGGATGAGGAAAAAAAATGAGAGGTGGTCCAGGGACTTTGATATTAAAATTTTATTAATAAATATTTTTTAATTGGATATATTTGAATTGTATATTTTTACTATTGGACATTATTTAATTTGATATTTTTGTCATTGGATATTTTAATACGATAATGAATAAAAGAACCGCATTATATCCCTCAATTACGGTGAATTTAATGGTAATTTTTAAAAAAATTTCTTTCCGTGTACTTTAGACGTACTGTAACTATGTATTGAAGGCAAATAGATAACTTCTGAAGGAATTACACTGAATAAGCTTCAGCAGATGACATTAGTTTTAATTTGACCAACGGAATTTTCATTTATAGCAGTTTTAGATAGTACTAGATGTTACAACACTTGTAAAAGTGATTCCACTTAGAATTCTAAATGGATCTTGATAAAGTTTGATATTCTTATTCCCTATAAGGTCGCATTGAATTCGAAATTGAGCAAAATCGGTGAATTAGTTTGGAAATGATAGACATTTAAAGATTTTAAGATTGCTAATTAAAAAGAAATTTGAATTCTTTTTAAAACTTAAGCTTGAATTTTAAATACTTTGTTTTAAAAAATTTGTCCGTAATTTTGAATTTAAAATTTCTTCCAGCTAATTAAAATTAATTTTCAAATAAAATCTTGGATGTTTTCCTAATTAAAATAATTCACTATTTTTTTTAGGTAAATTTTCCAGAAATTCATCAACCAAATAAATTCTTTTAATAAAATTAACTTAGACTACTTAGAAATTAAAAAAAAATTATACGTTTTATTACTTACAGAAAGAAAAATTCGTGAAACTTCTGGACCAGCTGCACAACACGCTGCGTATTGATCTGTCGATGTTCAGAAACAACTTCCCAGCATCCAGACCAGAGAAGCTGCAGGACTTGAAGAGCACGGTGGACCTGCTGACGAGCATAACCTTCTTCCGAATGAAGGTCCAGGAGCTGACGAGTCCACCAAGAGCTAGCACAGTGGTGAAAGACTGCGTGAAAGCTTGCTTGCGGTCGACGTACCAGTTCCTGTTCGAGCACTGCTACGAGCTGTACAACAGGGAGTTCCAGGTGGACCCGAACGAAGCTAAGCGGGATCCTAATGACCACGGCCCGGTCCTGGACTCCCTGGACTTCTGGCACAAGCTGATCGCGCTGATTGTCTCGGTGATAGAGGAAGACAAGAACAGCTACGGTCCTGTGCTCAATCAATTCCCTCAAGAGCTGAACATCGGTCAGCTGTCCGCCGCTACCATGTGGTCACTCTTCGCAGTGGACATGAAGTACGCCCTCGAGGAGCACGAGCAGTACCGACGGTGCAAGTCTTCCGAGTACATGAACCTCCACTTCAGGGTGAAATGGCTCCACGCCAACTACGTCAAGGACGTTCCACCGTACAAAGGCGCAGTTCCTGAGTACCCAGCCTGGTTCGAGCCTTTCGTTATGCAGTGGCTCAACGAGAACGATGACGTTTCACTCGAATATCTCCATGGTGCCTTTAATAGAGATCAAAAGGACGGGGTGAGATTTTTTTAATTTTTATACTGCTTAATAACAGACACTGGAAAATAATTTCTTGATAGAAAAATAAAAAGATTGAAAACTAAATAATAATAATAATAATAATAAACTTGACTCAATATCAATTTTTTTGATTAGCAATAGAATTTTTTTTTTAAATTGTAAATAAAAAAAAATTTACCTAGTCGGGACTCGAACCCGGTCCGCTCCGCGTAGTTAAAAAAGAGTAATATTACTTCGCTAATATAGAATTTGTGAGCTCGATTATTCCCCCCAAAATTTGAATTTAAAGGCAAAAAACGATGTTGAAGAATTTATATGTAGGTTTCAAAAGTTTAAAATGCTAATTTTGGTTAAAATATTGAAAATAAAAAAAATAATACAAGATAAAAGCCCCAAAAAAAAATCACCCAATCGGGACTCGAACCCAGTTCGCTCCGCGCGGTTAAAAAAGAGTAAAACCACTTCGCTAATATAAAATTTGTGAGCTCTATTAAAATTCAAATTTTTTTATATATTCGTAATAAGGACAAAGCCCTAATTATTGACAGGGGTCTAAATATTAACACCCTAAATTATTTTTAAATATATTTAATTATCTGTAATAAGAATAACCATCATATAAATTTTTATTAAATTCTAATTAATTAAAAAATTGAAAAAAATTACTCAGTTCAAAATATTAAATATTAATTATTAAAAAATAAAAGCACCAGATCAAACCTTACGAACGTTTATTTTCTTAACAACTTTGATTAGAAAAGCATTTTTTTAAATGCTGTTTAAATTAATTTCTTCATCTAATAATATAATCTTTTTGATTTAATTAACAATATATGAAAAATTTATAAAATTGAATAATCGAAATTAATTGTTTCCTTTATAATATTTAAATAATGGGTGTCAATAACTAGTTGATAATTTTTAAGTTGAATCTCATATTGACAGCGTCGACAGCGCTATCACGCCTTTTTTTTTTACTTTAACCTAAAAAATTTACTGTAAGAGTTTGAACTCTTCTGATTCAATAAATTATTTTTAAATTAATTTTTATATTTTTAAAAGTAATTAATCATTTATGGAAATTATTATTAATAAACTATAATAATATTGCTTACTTAATAATAAGTTTCGATAAATAAGAATAAGCTGATGATTTGACGCATGCGCAGTATAGGTGTCAATAATTGGGGCTAAGGTATGTCAATAATTAGATCAATCAGTTTTTTAACCTGCCAATAATTGGTGTATCCGGATACTCTATTTAATTATTTAAAATTAATTAGTAAATATCACTGATTATCATTTTAAAAAATTTGATTAGTAAAAACATTACTTGAAACATTGCCACAAACAAAATTCAATATTTGATTGCTTAAAAAAAATCAAATCATAATTTTGTCTCTTATAGTGTTAATAATTGGGATTTTTATCTTTATCCCGCTACTTTTTAAATTTAAATTTCGCGGGTTTTTTTTACTACCGCCATTTCGTGCTTCACTTTGGCCGCCATTTTGTTTACCCTCAAATTTCTAATTATACTCAATTGTGTTCTTTGACTGACCAAAGGTCAGTCTAGTTGATCCTTTTTTAAAAGCTTAAAAATTGAATTATAAATAAAATTTCTTGTAATTAACTTATTAAAATTATTTTCTAACTTCTCTCTTATAGTTAACAGTAAATAATTATTTTTGTGAATTTATAAGAAATTATTTTCCAAATTTAATTACTTATTCCTTAAAGCTCACTATATTATTACTTCTATTGAAAATTAAATTCATAAATGAAACGTTATAAGAAAATTTAACGGTTCAAGTCGTCACGGAATTAGTAATTAAGCATCATGGCGCTCAATAACCATCAAACACAACAGTTACCACAGAAGCAATAATATACTGCGTAGAGCTTGAAAGTTTTGAAGTTAATTAATAGTTAGATAAATTATGGTATTAATTAAACGAAAATTGAATAATTACAGTTCATAAAGAGCAGCGAGCACGCCCTTTTCAGTGTATCAGTAGTAGACGTATTTACCCAATTAACGCAGTGCTTCGACGTCGTTTCAAAACTGGAGTGTCCTGATCCGGAAATCTGGAAGAGGTATATGAAGAGATTCGCCAAGACTATTGTTAAAGTCTTGATGTCTTACTCGGATATCGTAAAACGAGAGTTTCCAGGCCACCTTAAGGATGAAAGAATTGTGAGTATTAATTAACAATCCATAAATAATTTAATTTTAATCATTTTATTGTAGCAATATTTTTTAAAGATTATCTCAGTAAAATCTACTGAAGTAAAAAAAAATAAAAAATGATTTTAATGCAGCTTATCGTGATCGTAAAATAGAATTATTATTGGAGATATTATCAATAGAATTTTATTACTATTTTTATAGGTTTTATATTTTGGAAAAGATTTTAGTTTGATAAGATTGAATGTTTAATTAATTTTTGAGATTTAATTTATTTTTTAAGGTTAGTTAACTTGAAAATATATATAGAATAATTGGTAATAGTAAAAAAAAATAAGGAATTTCATTAAAGTACATTTTTAAAAATAATATACAACTAATTGGATAAAATTTAATTAGAATGATAGTTGTATAAAAGTGTTGTTAGAATTAACTGTAATTGAGCAACAACTGATCACCAAAATGTGTAATTTTTTATACAGCTGATAAGTCGAGAGCGATTGCAGCGCCGCCTCAAAGTCGGTGGATAATTCCGGTACTTGGATTAATTTTTACTGTCAAGTCCGGTTAATTTTTTAGTAATTTCAGTAAAAACATTTTATTTCACTGGAATTTTTAATATTTATAGTCTGAAATAATTATTAATCTTATCAATTTTTCACGTTTATTATTTTTAACCTTTGCAGTAAAAATTAATGGAACTTTTCAATATTTTTTTTCATAGTACTTGTGAATAATTATTCAAAAAATTGAAATAAGATTATAAATTGCGGAATATCTTACTATTATTTATAAAGAAAATTTTTTCAATTAAATTAACAAAAAAAAGTCAATTTTAATTACAATCTAACATTTTTCCTTCTAAATTCGCGGCAAAAAGTCCTTTTAACCAGGTTATGGGCCCAGTTTCTTAAAAAATCAAATTGTCAAAACTTTAACCTTTGCAGTAAAAATTAATAGTACTTTTCAATATTTAAACATTGTATTTGCAAATAATTATTAAAAAATAATATAATAATTATATGTATAAATAAAAGGATAAAATTTATAATTAATATTTCAACTTACAGGCGTGCATCCTGATGAACAACATTCAGCAGCTGCGAGTCCAGCTGGAGAAGATGTTCGAATCAATGGGAGGAGAAAAACTAGAGGAAGACGCGGCAAATATCCTAAAAGAACTCCAGCAACAATTAAACACCGCGCTGGATGAACTAGCGGTACTCTTCGCCAGGAGCTTGGAACCGAGAATAACTGTTTCCGTCCGCGAACTCGGGGACTTGCTCTTGGCGATAAAAGGCGGAGGGCAGGTTAACTTACAACAGGCCGCGCAGAGAGACGCGGTCGCGATGGAAGCCGATGATGTCCTCAGGCCGCTTATGGACCTTCTGGATGGAAGTTTGTCGCTGTATGCCCAGTCTTGCGAAAAGACGGTGCTTAAGCGGCTGCTCAAGGAACTCTGGAAGATTGTCATGAGAATTCTTGAGAAAACTGTTGTGCTGCCACCTATGACTGATAAGAGTGTAAGTTCTTAAGTAATTCTGCCCCAAGCGGCACAAACTTATTTTTTGATGAATTTAAGTTGACGATTATTAAATTTTTTTAGTTAAATTAAAGTCAATATTTTTTTTGTGACGCTTGGGTGCTATGCTGATAGTAGAAATTTTTGAATTTGGCGCGCTAGCTACTGTCCGCCATTTTGTGGCTTAAGAATTGTACCCGCCATCTTGTCGGAGATTTCTAACTATCTGTTTTTTTTAGATTTTTGCTTTATTAATAGAGAAATTAATGAAGTTTTTGATAATTTGACAATTAATATGATATTTTGGTATTGTTTTTTATAGATGATGTTCAAGAACTTGACCGATAATGCTAAAAATCTAGCAGCGAATGCCAAAATTGAAGATATGTCGAGAATATTCAAGAATCATATGGCTGGAAAGCCAGATGTGAAGAATGCACTCAGTGGAGTAATGGTGAGTAGAAAAATCAAATTTTTAAAACTTCCTGAAAATTTGTGAATTCAATCTACGTGATAATTAATAAACAAATTAAAAAACAGTAGGTTTCCGGGATCTTTAATCAAATAACTAGGTTTGAAAATTGTAATTTTTACATGTGAATGGAGATTCCACCAGCCGTGTATTTGGTTAAGAATTTAATGCAATTAACGATTTAAAAAAAATTTTATTTCCATTGAATTTGATTAAAAAAATAATAAGCTCGATTAAAACAATAAAAAAGTAGCTTTCCGAACGTATTACGGAGATATTTTATATTTTTTATGAAAAATCACTCGGAACTTGCGTTCTTTAAAGTCTTGTATTTGACTTGGCAACACCGCTTGCGCAGTTACCCATGCGCATAAGTTCCCGCGGTTTTTTAAATGCTAGAAAATCTTAGTCATTTTAGTTAGAGAGTAAACATAAATAAATTTGATGGTTAGAGAACTCTTGCGGTGTTGTCAAGTGTATATCAGTAATTCAGAGTACTATATTTTTTATTAGCCAATTAAATGTTAATAATTATTTAATGAGTAAATTTTTCTGAAATTTCCTCAAAAATGTTATTAATTAATTTTAAGAACAAAAGTATTTCTACGTATTATTTTTTATAGACATTCTTTACATTAGGAGGGTACTTGGATCTCCTTAAAATTAATAAAAATGATTATTTTTTAGGACATATCCAAGGAAGTAGAAAAGAACCTTTCGCCGAAACAATGCGCCGTCTTAGACGTCGCATTAGACACGATAAAGCAATACTTCCACGCGGGAGGTAACGGCCTGAAGAAAAACTTTTTAGAGAAATCCGCAGAGCTCCAGAGTCTGAGATACGCCCTCAGTCTGTACACGCAGACGACGGATACTCTCATCAAGACCTTCGTCACCTCTCAGCTCAACCAGAGTAAGTACCACCCTATATTTTTTTCGAATAAAATCTAGATATATATGTAGCGAGTATCTTAAAATCTTACAATTATAAATAATGAAACCGCGGTCGATAAAAAATGTGTTGAATATACGCGTAAATAATTATCGCGTATAAACAGTGCCCCTGAACAACGCAACAACCCTACGTCAACGTCAACGTTCCGTGAGCAGTGATAGGGGCGACGATGGTGATGACGACGGAATGGAAGGGTTAGAAGAGCCCCTTCGTCAAAGTAAACCGCCGCCTCTTAGACGTGAAAGTCGACAAGGTACCAGAGAAACAATCTGCAGACAGCTCTGAGACCTTTTAATTTAATATTCAATTATGTATTTCATTTTGCACATCTCAAATTTTTCAAAAAAAACACTTTAGATATTATTATTAATTTTTATTTATTGCAATAGAGAAGTTGCATAAGTTAAAGTACCCAGTACAGTATAATGCATTAATTAGGAAAAAAAAAAAAATTATCTTTTGTATTACTTGACAATAATATTTTTTTTTAGGTTAAATTCAACTCTTTTGTGATATATGATCTGAATATAGCAAATACAAGAGTATAGAAATATATAAATATTTTTAAAATCAATTTAGAAAAAATTAAATTGTTTAAAAAAATTATTAGAATATTCTTCTTTGATAAAAAATTAATCCAAGTTCTCTATTGGATTAAACTTGAGATTGCCGCCATTTTATTCACTCATTTGGCTGCCATCTTGTTGAAAAAATTGAGTTACACTATTATTACCCAAAAAATTTGAATTAATCCTGAATATTATTTGAGATGTGCATAGAATTTATTTATTTGGTACATTAAATCAATTAAGCCGTAGAATACAAGACTAAATCTAAAAAAATCAAAATTATCAACAAAAGCATGAGTAATATATCGCGTGACAAATGCCAAAAGAGCGTACTCCTACAGTAAGATAGGGCTTTGTGCCAAAATAGCGTACAAAAAAATTTTTTCTGCCAATCAGCTCAAAATCGTCCAAAAGGTCACGATCAATAGGAAAAATTTTTGAGTTACTAACGCCAAAAGGACGCATCTTGAAGGTGTACGCCCTTTTGGCTTTAGGAAAATTTTTCTTAAAGCCAAAAGGGCGTATAAAGAAAATTGTTTTTTATTATAAAACATGAAAATAATCCTGCATCAATGAATACCATAATAAAGGAAGAAAATAAAAAATTGAACTATAAAACGCAAAATGAGCAACGAAAAATTTTTTTCTGAATTTTTATAAGATTGTAAAATTTTTTTCAATTTTATTTGACTCCTTTTGGAATTCTCAAAAATTACCCAATTTTTTCTCTCTACTGTTTTTGAAACTATTTTGTAAGATTCACATTGAGAAAAAATTCACTTTTTTAAAAAATGATTAAATATATTTCAAACTTTTAAAATTTCGCGCTCTAGGATAGCCTGATAGCCATATTGAATATTTGATATGGATTTTTGTAGTTTAATAATAAAAATATCATTAAAATTTCATTCTTAGGCCATCCAAACATATAATTTGAGTAAAAAAAAAATATAGAAGAAAAGTCCTTATTTTCTTTACAATAGCCTCTTGAGCTGGGTAATCTAATCCAATTTTTGTAAAGCAATCCTTTAATAATCTTCAATTGTGAATGTTCCTAGTCTTTCTTTAGGCATTAATACTCCGCTTTTTAGCGATAATTTTTGGGTTGCAATCCTCTTTTGCTTATATTTTTGCAATATAAGATCGTATTAGTGTCTTTGGAACCTTCATTGGAAGATAAATTTTTTGGGACTTCAAATTTTTTTATTTTTTATATTAAAATGATACTTAAAAAGTAATTTTGGCAACAAAAAATTTTTTATACGTCTTTTTTGTATTTGTCACGTGATATTGTAATCATCTCGATTATTAGTCATCGCCGCTGAAGCTGTAACCGCAATTCTACTACTAAGCTTTGCCGAAGCAATCATTAATCATGGGCTTACTCGATAATTATTATCAAAGTCTGAGGACTTGTAGGTTAAGATCTAGATGTAGAAGTAGAAAAGTAACTTACTGATAAGCTGACAAGCGCATCTTTCTTGGCATTGAGCGCGGATTTTGAGGTTCTTTTGTTTTCCAGACACACTAGATGGCGGAGCGGTAGGAGAACTGAGTCTCCAGGTGGACCTGTTTACTCATCCTGGCACCGGGGAACAGAAGATAACCGTCAAAGGTAAGCAGTGTCATAATAATTATCAGTAATTGATGTCATTGTTTTTGAATTGTTGATTAATTGTCTGTAATTTTTAACAGTGTCGCAAGCGAATGATCTGAAATGGAACCCGCAGTCCTTCAAACCTTACGTGGAGGTTAATTTAATAGGACCCCATCTAGCGGAGAAGAAACGGAAATACGCGACTAAATCTAAGAGCGGAACGTCGCCGAAGTTTAACGAAACTTTCCATTTGTAAGTATATAATTTTTTTTAATTAAAAATTTATTAAATTAATTATAAAATTTGAAAAGTGGCGGGACTTTTCAAATTTAAATTTCGCGGGGTTTTACTGCCGCCATTTCATGCTACACTTTGGCTGCCATCTTGTTTACCCATATATTTCTGTTTTTATTGGGTGTAACGTGGTCTTTATCATCAACTGAATCAATTTATCACAAAATATTAAATATTTGTTAAATTAAAAATTAAAAAAAAATTAATGATATAATATTGAATAGTAATTTTGTAAATAAAAAATTTCAGCATGATTGGAAACGATCAACAACTGCTGGACTACTTAGAGCTGCACGTGTGCGTAAAAGACTACTGTTTCGCGCGACCGGATAGCTTAGTAGGTGTCGCTGTGATCCAGCTGAAGGACATCGCCGAGGAAGCGTCGCGTCCTTACGTCCTATCTCTTGGAAAACGAATCCAGATGGACGAAACCGGATGGACGATTTTGCGCATCCTCTCCCAGCGAAACAACGACGAGGTTGCTAAAGAATTCGTAAAACTAAAGAGCGACATCCGCCAGGAGAACCAGCAACCTAACCCCACCTGAATTACCACCTCAAAATAGATACCTACAAGTATAAAATGCGGCTCGGGGCTTTGAAAGAGCTCCTAAGCCAGAAGGTTATAAAAAAGCTACTGAAGACTATATATAGTCTTCGCAGAACTGAAAAGATCGCACAATCAACAAAATGGCGTCTCAACACACTTACGGCGATCATAAATAAATAATAATCGATTATAATAACAGTAACAATAACAAAGTTAACCTAAAAGACTACGCAATAAATTCGACGGCGAATTAAAACAAAGTTTTATCGTTCGGTTAATTAATATAATTATTTATTAATTAATTTAAAAAATAAATAATGGAACGGTATTCGGCTGTAGATATAAATGCGATATGGATTAATTTTTCTAATAAATAACGCATTTGCGCACGACCAAATAAGGCGCGTCCGAACGTCATTCAGACGTGCCATAGATATTAATAGGCATTGTTAAATCTTAACCTAAAAACGTACCGAGTACTGATCAGATATGATTCCTGAATTGAATAATAAGAATAATAATAATAATAATAACCTTATACGATCGATATTAATGAGAATAGTTTGTAGTTATTAATTGTATCATTAATTATATTAAATCCAAGACTAAGCGATTAAGTTTCTACAATGTAGTTAACGTCTAGATTTGTCTCGCCAAGCTTAACGATGCTGATTAGAACAGCAAAATAAATTTTTTTTATTAAAAAAAAAATTTTTTTTAATTTTTTTTTTTTTAATTAGAAAAAAAATTATATTTTTTTTTATTTTATTTTTTTTTTTTAAATAATTTTTACGATTTTTTTTTATTAAAAAATAATTTTTAATATTATTATTATTATTTTTTTTTTTTTATTTTTATTATTATTAATTTATTATTATTATTATTATTATTATTATTATTATTATTATTATTATTATTATTATTATTATTTTAATAGGAAACGATGTTTCGATACAAACGCAATCTCGCGATTAAAAAACTATTTTCTCTGCAGCCTAAATACTTAACCTTTAATCTGTGTGAACAAACGATTACCGCGCATGCGTGGAACAAGTGCATTCGAGAATTAATAAATAAATTTATGCCTTCATTCTTAATAATCATTCTATATCTTTAAAATAAGAAAATTTCATGCATTTTATCTCTTTTTAGTTCTAAAATTAATAAAAAATTACAAAGAAAGAACCGTGCGCGCGCAGATGGAACTGACCACGCGCATGCGCGTCAGTAGTTCCACTCAATTTTTTTCCTAGTTCTTTAAAACTGCATAAACTATTTATTTAAAAAAAAATTATTTAATAAATTAATTTAAAAAATTGGAAACCAAGAACCGCGCGCGCATATGGAACTGACTACGCGCATGCGCATCAGTAGTTCCTGTCTAATTTTTTCCTTGTTCTTTAAAACTGCATAAACTATTTATTTAATAAATTTTTATTATTTATTTAATAATTATTATTTAAAAAATTAAAAACAAAGAACTGCGCGCGCGCAGATGGAACTGACGACGCGCATGCGCGTCAGTAGTTCCAGTCTAATTTTTTCCTAAACTGCATGAAATATTTATACGAATATAAATAAATTTCCGAGTGCAATAAAATACTTAAAAAAAAATTGTAATTAATATATCTAAGGCAGTAGCCGACTTTTAATTATTTTTGTCTTCGCTTCTCTTAAGCTTAATGAAAAAAAAAAAAAAAAAAATATCTCGTATATTCTGTGATAATTACTCTTAAATAATATTATTAACACTACACGTATCACAATCCTTAAACATGTAATATATATTCTATACAAATATAAATAATATCTAATATACTAATATATATATATTATAATAAATAAATATGATGAATACTTCCCAAGCGAGAAAAAGGGAACTTCCTATTATTTTGAACGTGAGAGAATCCCGGTAGATGGCGGGAGTTAAATTTTCTAGGAACGACAGACTGTTGACCAATAGAAGAATTATTATTAATTATTATTAATATTAATAATTAAATTAATAACCACAATTGTTGACAATACATTGCTTGGCGCGTTAGTGTAAGTGTCTTGAGTTTATTAATATATAAATATAATAATATATTAACCGGCGTTAATTTAAGCTATTAATATCATAATTGAAACACGCACACCTGACACAAATAATATTAATATCTTACATTTTAAATAATAAAATGCGGAATTGTCGAGATATGAATGATTATTTAATTAATATTAAATCTTTCACGTTCACATATTATTAATATCATTTTTTTTTTTTTTTATTAATATTATCACTTTTTATTATATGTCCCGCGTGTATCGAAACATCGAACGGTAGGGAATTGAATTATTTAAAAAATCTTAAAAAAAAAAATATAAATATATAAATATATAAATAAATATATCAAATATATCGTTTCGACTGAATGTTAAATGTTATTAATATTTTTCATCTCATTATAAATAACACAGCTAGTTATCACACGAACCAAATAATTAATTATTAATTAAAAAATATATTATTAATAAGTGAATGTAAATTTATTATCGTGGAATTTTTGAAGTAATATATATATAGGTTTATATATATATTAATATCATCAATTTTTCATCACTGTGTTCCATATCAATAGGTATTCTCTTAACGAGGTTATTAATATGTTAATTGTTATTAATTAATAGAAAACTTGCATACATTTAATTTTTTCTTAATAATTTATCTTTAAGTAGAAAAATTTTTTTCTAAGAAAAAATTGCGGATTTTTTTATAAAAAAAAAAAACTAGATAATTTTTCCGTGTAAAAAAACATTTTTGTGACGTCATTTTATCTTTTCAGAGTTAGAGCCGAAGTAGTCAAATTTAGTTGAATTTTCAATTTAAATTTTGCTTTAGTAAAAAAAATTTTTTTAATGGTTAAAATCCACTTGAAAAATAATTATTTAAGTTTTTATTGTATAAAATTGTTCTATAAAAGGGTAATTTATTAGAACTTATGAAAAAAAAAAGAGATTTTCAATAGAATTCGACAAGATGGCGGCTGTAATTCCCGCGTCATAAAATGGCGGCTTAAAATACTAAGCGCGGCAAATTTAAAAATGACAAAGAATATATTTTAAAAAGTGACACTTGAGAAGATCCACGTGAAGTAGTCAAATTTTTTAAATTATCGGAATTATTAATTGAAATTTTGTTTTAGAAAAAAAAATTCAATCACTTGTTTGTTAAAATCGATTTAAAAAATAATTATTCAAGTTTTTGTTGTATAAAAGGGTAATTCATTAGAAATCATTAAACAAGAGATTTTCAACAGTATTCGACAAGATGGCGGCTGCAATTCCCGCGTCATAAAATGGCGGCTTGTAATAGCAAGCGCGGCAAATTTAAAAATGACTTTTAATCTTTTAGTACTTGGATCTCCTTAAAAATAATTTTTTTTCTTTTACATTAACTACGCCAGCATAAATATTTCTAAATTTTTCCGTAAGATGGCGTTACTATAAATGACGTCACTAGCTATAGAATTAACATTCTAAAGAAGAAATTTTTGATTTAATTTAATTCTTTAAATTACTTTAATTAAATTTAAAAAAATAAAATTTACCATGCAAATCTTCTATTAATTAATTAATAATTAACCCGTTAATGAATATCTTAAAGCCTGGAGATAAATGCGAGTTAAGATTTAAAAATAATAATATTAAATTGTAATCCTGGTTGTTATCAATGGAATTTAAATTTGTCCCGTTAATTGTACAATAAAATTTTTATTCCGATTATAAATATATATAAATATAAATGAAATATAAATATAAAAGTGAGGTTAAGGAGTCGGTTAGATTTGCCGGAGCTTAGCGCTCCTGTGATCATTTAACTGTAAATTATTATTATTGATTATGATTATTATTATTAATGTCATGCATTTACGGAAATAATTGAAATTGAAGGAACCACGGCGTTTATCGAGTGTTAATTCGGCTTTCGGCAACACGCACGTGTAATATATTAACTGCATTTTGACTAATAAAAATAAAAAATAACAAATCACACTTAAAATTATAAAACAGTATTGCACATACGATTGCACACATTATACATGCTATCATAAGACATTATAAAATAAAATAATAAAAAACAAATAAAATAAAAGTTATATTAATAACGCTGTGGTCGGCCCGCTATTGTCCGCGCTCTAGAACAAATTACAGTGACATTTGTAAAAAGATTAAATATACTCTGAAAGTCTAATTGTCTTTTTTATAATTATTATACTTTATTGAAGTTACCTAGTCCTTATCCTATAAAATGACTTTTGTTAAATTGCACTTTACTTTCTTAAATATTGACGATTTTTAAAATATAAGCTCATCCTGGTGTTATAATCATCAAGAGCTTTCATTTGAGTACCCACATGCATTTTTGATATATTTTTCATATATACATATATATAATATATATAAATATATGAAATATATGAAAAATTGATGTGGGTACTCAAATGAAAGGTCTCAAAGAGAGTAACGTCGGGATGAGCTTACATCTTTGAAAATATCAATAATTAAGAAATAACCTTGTACCTTGACAACTATTGACATTTTTAAAGATATAAGCTCATCCTAATGTTACAATCATTAAGAACTTTCATTTGAGTACCCACATGAGTTTTTGATATATTTTTCATATTTACATATATATAAATATATCAAATATATGAAAAATTTATGTGGGTACTCAAATGAAAGGTCTTGATGAGTGTAACATCAGGATCAGCTTATATTTTCAAAAATATCAATAGTTAGGAAATGACCTTGTATTTTGTCAACTATTCACATTTTTGAAGATGTAAGCTCATCCTGATGTTACACTCATGAAGACTTTTCATTTGAGTACCTACATGAATTTTTGATATATTTTTCATATATACATATATATATATATATAATATATGAAATATATGAAAAATTGATGTGGGTACTCAAATGAAAGGTCTTAAAGAGTGTAACTTCGAGGTGAGCTTATATCTTTGAAAATTTTAATAGTTCTCAACGTATCTGTAAAAGTACTATGTACTTTCTTAAATATTGACATTTTTAAAGATATAAGCTCATTCTGATATTACACTCATGAAGACCTTTCATTTGAGTACCCACATGCATTTTTGATATATTTTTCATATATACATATATGTAGTATATAAAATATATAAAAAAATGATGTGGGTACTCAAATGAAAGCTCTTGATAAGTGTAACATCAGGATGAGCTTATATCTTTAAAAATGTCAATAGTTTACAAGATACAAGGTCATTTCTTAATTATCTATCTAGAGATAGAGAATTTTCAAACGCAGCCTAAATACTTATAATAAATTGACTATCGGTGAGAATGATATAAAACCTTGGAAAGGCACAAATTCAAGACCTTTGCAATGACACTAAATTTTACTGAAAAAACCGATTTTATCTTATCAATATCCTGGACACAAAATTTTTTTTGTTCTCATAATAATATAGATTATTATTATTATTATTATTATTATTATTATTATTATTATTATTATTATTATTACTATTATTATTATTATATTCTGAGAATGCGAATTAATTCCATTTATATTACAGGCGCTTTTATTCGTGCTCTTTTTTTTAATTAATTAATCAAAAAAAATAAAAAAACCTGGAATAATGTTGAATTAAAATAAAATCAACAAAATTAAATTTAATTTTTATTGTGACATACAATTAACAATTGTCACCAAATCTAATCAATATTATATTAAATTACTTGAATTTTCTTCATTTTTATTATTGATTATTATTTTTATTATCTTTATAAAAATCTTCATTCTCTTGATGAAAAATATCTCAAGTGATTTCCAGCCAGGATTGCTTCCTGTAAAAATAACAAATAATAATTACACACTGCATTCTAACCTCAAAAAAATTCATCTTTTTATTTTACAAATTTTTAAAATTAAAATAAATTTTATTTCTTCAAAAAAAAATTATAAATAATTTTAATTCTTATTACAATAAAAATTATTGATCTTCAAAATATTTTTTTTTTAATAAAAAAAAAATACTTAATTATGTCAAAACAAGTCAAAAAATTTTTACTGACACTTTGCTTAAAAAATGAATAATTAATATAGAATAAATAAATAATAAAAATTACCTTGGGTTTTTTATGTGGTCCTCCACGAGGATATGGACCAAAGTTATCTCGCTTTCCGTTATCAAAATCCATGGTAAACAGCCAAATAGTGTGAGCAACCATGGCACAGATTGCAAGAACCGAGTGATCAATCATTGTCACAAATTACACTTTTCTTCTTTATTATTAATTATATTTAGTTTGTTTATTTAATTGCAATATTTATATTTACACGTCAGTGTAAAATTTACTAAAAAAAAGTTAAGACTTTCTCACTTTAGGACTTGAAAATTATGAGCTGAATCAGCTGGTCGGTGGTGTTTGATGGTTTATGTGATTATGCAACTTTTAATGCAGGCTGCGACATCTTCTGGGATGAGTGGTAAGTTTTTTATCGATAAAATAGATTTTTATTTTAATAATAATAATAATAATAATAATAATAATAATCAATAAATAATTAATTATTGAAAATAATAATAATAATAATAATATCTTATTAAAAAATTGAGAAAAAAATTTTTAATAAAAATTAATATTAAAAAAAAAATATGAAATTCATTTTTTTTTTTAATTTGTATCAAATTAAAAAAAAATTGCTTTTAAAGTAATTTTTTAAAAAAATTTTTAAAGAAAAAAAAAACACCTAATATCCTTTAAAGAATTTTTTTAAGGAGATCCAAGTACCCTTCTAGTGTAAAGAATGTCTATAAAAAAATAATACGTAGAAATACTTTTGTTATTCTTAAAATTAATTTTTAAATTAATTAATAACATTTTTGAAGAAATTTCCGAAAAATTTACCCATTAAATAATTATTAACATTTAATTGTCTAATAAAAAATATAGCACTCTGAATAACCTTTCTCTATATTACATTTTTAAATTTACCGCGCTTGGTATTACAACCCGCCATTTTGTTACGCGGGAAATGCAGCCGCCATCTTGTCGAATTCTATTGAAAATCTCTTTTTTTAATGATTTATAATAAATTAGCCGTTAATAAAACAATTTTATGCAATAAAAACTGGAATAATTATTTTTCAAGTCGACTTTAATAAACAAGTGATAAAATTTTTTTTTTAAGAGAAAATTTGAATTGATAATTTCACTAGTTTAAAAAATTTGACTTCTTCGCGTGGATCTCCTTAAGTGTCACTTTTTTAAAAATATTCTCTAAAACTCATTTTTAAATTTCCCGCGCTTGGTATTATAACCCACCATTTTGAGAAGCGGGAATTGTAGCCGCCATTTTGTCGAATACTGTTGAAAATCTCTTTTTTTAACGATTTCTCATAAATTAGACTATTCTAAATCAAATTTATGCAATAAAAACTTGAGTAATTATTTTTTAAGTCAATTCTAACCATTAAAAAAAAATTTTTTTAACTGAAACAAACTTTAAATTAAAAAATCTACTAAAAATTGAAAAAAAAGTATATCTTAAATAAATACCTTATTTTTTTATAAAATAAAAAAAAAACTCGTTACCTCCTTGATAAAAAAAAAATCTTCCAGATGTATTCTGAAAATGTAAAAAGGTCCGAAAATTAATAAACGAAATGATTATTTAAAAATCCATGTCCAAATCATTGCTGTATTAGCATAATTATCATCATTAATAATATTAATAATAATAATAATAATAATAATTAATAATAATAATAAACTTTATGAATAACTATTGTACATAAAACAATAACACTAAGTTATTTAAAATCTTGATAACCTATTGAATTAATATTTGTTTACATAATAATAAATTTAAACGCACGCTTATAAACTAATGCATACGATTAATATTTACCATTTTATTTAATTATTATATTATATCGATTTTTAATTTGTTTTTTTTAATAATATTCTATGTCGCATATAAAAAACAATTACTTAATTATTTTATATAGAGTACAAGTTCCTTAATTAAGATTTCTTGTTCTGCATCTGCATTTTTATTATTATAATTAATAATTTTATTTTATTATTATTATATATTTATATATTTATATATTGTTATTATTTATAAACTTAAGACCTCGTTAATCACTTATAAATTTTCCCCGCTCAAGTGTTAAATAATTTTGAAAAATTCCTCTTAATTATTTATTGCACGGAGCGTACACAGAAAGAACAAGATTACACTGGATATCATCCCAGATTATACTGAGTGATATCTAGATTATACCCAGTGATATCTCCAGTATTTTTTTTCTAACGCATGCGCACTTAGCATTATCATATCTATTATGTATTTTAGATATTAGGATAGTCAAAAATTGTTCTAAATACTATCTGAAATTTTTTTTCACTACAAATATCACTGAGTGTAATCTGGGATGATATCCAGTGTTTTTTCCGTGTATTATTCCAGATTATACTCACTGATATGTGATGAAAAAAAATTGCAGATAGTAACTAGTATAATCCAGATTATACTGAGTGATATCTGGATTATACTCATTATAATCTGGGATGATATCCAGTGTCATCTTGTTTTTTTCCGTTTATCAAGGAATTAGAAATCTACTTTTGATTTTAAAAAATTAAAACAATAAAAATAATTAAAAAAAATTTTTTTGCAAGAACGAGGAAATAGTGAACCGCCTGATAAAAATTGCCTTTCGTTGATTACCAGAATCTGGTTGGCAGGTTAGTTGGGCGTTCACGCAAAACTTGTATTTTTTTATTAAATTTAATTTAATTAAAAATATTTTGTTTATATTAATTGTTATTAAATGTGGTGTGAGATCGTTCCAAATATAATTACCGATAATCGATAAAAAACAGCGCTACACCTTATCTATAACTACTCGGTAAATGGTTCCATCGGTTCCAATTGTTCTAATCCTAGAACTGGACTCTCGTATCGACAAATTTTTTTAATATTTATTTATATTTATATTTATATATATATATATAATATATTTAATATTTAGTATTTATATTTATATTGTTGGATAAATAAATATAATTTTATTCACTAAATTGGCCAGTACCATAACAATAGTGTAGATGTAGCGCTAGTTCCATGGAACATATGGAACAAGTGGAACAAGTTCGTTGCTGGCAGGTCCATCGATCGATCTTAGATTGTCAGGCACTTCACACTTATATCCTTGAAGGTTATTACGAGATCACTCACCACACTCGGGCAGGCTGGAGAACTGGACGTGACACCAGAGACAGGCACCGTCAATATTGGATTATGTTATCCACTACTGCGAATCCGCAAGCTCCTAGACCCGCGCCCGACATCAGTCGGACCAACTCCCGCGCGTGCGATATTGTCACTTCTAGAGGTGGTCGTCGTGGAAGATTTGTAGACTCTGAAATAATAATGAGAGAATAAAAAGAATTTTGGGTCCAGGATAAATAATTAAAAAATTATCGTGTATCTTGGGAACGATTGACATTTTTTAAGATATAAGCTCATCTTGATGTTACACTCATCGAGACCTTTCATTTGAGTACTCACATCAATTTTTCATATGTATATATATATCATATATATATATATATATATATATATATGAAAAATATATAAAAAATGCATGTGGGTACTCAAATGAAAGGTTTTGATAAGAGTAACATCAGGATGAGCTTATATCTTTATAAATGTCAATAGTTAAGAAAGTACCGTGCAATTTAGCATAATTGAAAAATGACCTTGTATCTTGTGAACTATTGACATTTTTAAAGATATAAGCTCATCTTGATGTTATACTTATCAGGAGCTTTCATTTGAGTACCCACATCAATCTTTCATATATTTTATATATTTATATATATGTATATATGAAAAATATATGAAAAAATGCATGTGGGTACTCAAATGAAAGGTCTTGATAAGTGTAACATCAGGATGAGCTTATATCTTTAAAAATGTCAATATTCAAGAAAGTACAGTGCAATGCAATAAAGATTTAAATAAAAATAATTGATATAATTTAATAATAATTTAAATTGAAATTATTAATCAATTTAACTCATTTTTAAGTTAATCTATTTTTTTTTTAACATAATTTAATTTAATATAATATAATATATTTACCGAGAATAGCCGAGTTTAATCGAGCACAGACAGTTTCTCGCTCCTGAGGATCCAACTGCCAGCCGACAGGAGAGTTCCAAGGATTTGAATACGCAAGCAAACTAAACGCGTCTTGGAGCATTTTTTTGTTAGCTTCATTTTTACCGTACGACTGTCTCAGGTGTATCGATTGGGAGTACAACTGCCGTCCGAACTCCAGCATTTTTTCAATCGCCTGTTTATTACCGCCACATAATTGTTTTTTACTGAGCTTAACACTGGGGTTGTCTATACTATTGCCGTTTTGTTGGTTTTGGTTGGCACTGTCTATTTCTGAAAATAAAAATCAATTATTAATTTTAAAACATAAATACTGCACTCGTATCTAATATTCATAATAGTAATTTTTTTTATTACATAATTATATTTAATTAATTAATTATTTAAAGTGTATGCCTCTTTTAATTTACAAAAGTAAAAAAAAAATATAAGACAGTATTATATGAATTTTTTAGTTTGTTTAGAAAGAAAAAAATCAATTTGAACTATTTTTTGACAAAATTAAAAAAATCAAAAGTAACAATCATTGAAAAAACTTTAATTTTTCCAAAAAATTTATAATATTTTTTTGGTTGACTAAAAAAATTCAAAAAACTCTTTTTAAAATGTAGAAAAAAATTTTTTTCAGCCAAAATAAAATTTGTCGGAATCAAAGCTGATTATGATTAAGCTGATAATTTTGTAGCCCTTGTTAATTTTTTTTCTAATAAAATCAAAAATAATTTGGTCGGACAATTTTGTACAGATTTAAGAAGTCCTTACAGAGAATCACCCATATAAAATTAAAAATTGTAAAAATTAGATATAGAGTAGAAATACCTTTTTTGGCCACTTTATTTTAAAATTATTGTATAAAAATTTCTCTAAGTGCAAGAGTTTATAACTTTAATTCGTATAAATGTACCAATTAATAAATTCTATAAAAATTCTACTTTAATTCGTGGCCAAAAATGGTCATAAAATAACACAAAAAAAATATACCGTACCCATATCAATATCTTCGCCATTACACTTGTACCCATTAGAATTAGGATTACCATTCTGGTATCCATTGGTAGTATTTTTGAACCCATTGATATTATTAATAGTCGCAGTGTTGCTCTCCATCTCCATATCAACATCATCCTCTATTTGTCCATTTATAAACTGCTGATCCGCGGTTCCGTTCAGCGTGTTGTTTAAATTCATTTCTTCCACAGTCCCGTTTGACGATTTGCTGTTGTACGCTTTTGTTGACTGTATCACACTGGTCTGGTTATCATTACTCGTGTTTGTGTTTATATTAATATTGATATTTGTATTAGTATTAGTGTTGGTAATGCTATAAGTATTATTAGTATTAGCATTAGTATTAATATTAGTATTAGTGTTGGTATTTGAATTATTAACAGTGGTGGTAGTGTTGGTGGCGGATGTTGAACTCCCGATCGTTTGATTAACTTCGGAATCACTTCCGTTAACCATTTCAACAAATTGACGACACTTGAGAGCGAACATCAAGTTCGGATCCCGGTCCAATAAAGTCGGGTACAACTCTGTCGTCAACTTTATTGCTTCGCCCATACGACCCGCGAGTACGAGCTTCAAAATTCCTGAAAAAAATTATTATTAATATTTTTATCTATACATATATATATTTTTTTTTTTTATTTAATTAATATAAAGTATACTTTGTCGATTTTTTATTGAACTGAAGTCTTCATCGAAAGGTTGTCCTGTACTATTGGCAAATGCTTCGGCAGTATCGCAGTAACCATGATGGACCAAATACGTTGATACCATCCTATTTTTTTTAATTTTAATTTTAAACTTACATTTATTTTTATTATTTTAACTAGCTTTCAAATTTATTTTTCAACAATTAAAGTTTTTTTTTTAATAAAAAGTTTTTAATAAAAAAAAAATTTTAATTAAAATAAAATTTTGCTCTATTACATATTGACTTTTGTTAAATTGCACTATACTCTCTTAACTATTGACATTTTTAAAGATATAAGCTCATCCTGATGTTGCACTCATCAAGAGCTTTCATTTGAGTACCCACATGCATTTTTGATATATTTTTCATATATACATATATGTAATATATATAAATATATAATATATATGAAAAATTGATGTGGGTACTCAAATGAAAGCTCTTGATAAGTGTAACATCGGGATGAGCTTATTTCTTGAAAAATATCAAAAGTTCACGAGATACAAGGTAATTTCTTAATTATCTTAAATTGCACTGTACTTTCTTAACTATTGACGTTTTTAAAAATATAAGCTCATCTTGATTTTACACTCATTAAGAGCTTTTATTTGAATACCAACATGCACTTTTGATATATATTATATATATACACATATATAATATATATGAAAAATTGATGTGGGTACTCAAATAAAAGGTCTTGATGAGTGTAATGTCGGGATGAGCTTATTCCTTGAAAAACGTCAATATTTCACAAGGTACAAGGCTATTTCTTAATAATATAGATTACAAATTTGTTGGTTTTTTTTTTTTTAATGAAAATTTGGCAGTTTAAAAAAAATTTTTTTTTTTTTTAATTTAATAAATGCTCAATTTTTATAATTAATTTCAAAAATATCTGTCATGAATTTTTACCTAATAAACTTTACCCAAAATTATAAAAAAAAGTTCAAAAACTTTTTTCTGATCTAAAAAATAAAAAGAACAAAAATCAATAAATTAAGCATCTAAAAACTAAAAATTTATTTGTCAATTTAGAGCTGACTCAATCAACTGACAAAAAAAATGTTGAAAGCTAGTATTGGAGAAAAGAAAAAAAAATGAAAAATACTTGTGTAAAACAGCTTGCCACTGTCCCTGACCATGGTCGGGGGTAGGATAATTAATAATCTGTAATCTCGTGCGTACGCGTAGCTCATTAATCATATCACCAATATCAAACACAAAGGGCGTTTGTCCGAAATTAGCGTCGACTACCTCGCCAGGAGTCTGCAGGCCTACTGTAGGGTACAGATTTGGCTGAAAAAAATTAAAAATGTTTTTAGTTGTCTATTTTAAAAATTTTTTATAAAAAGTAATTCATTTAAATAATAATAAGTCCGATATCTTCTTATTAAATTAAAAAATAATTTTTTCAAGTAATTTGAGACATATTTTAATAAAAAATTTTTGATGTAAAAAAAATTTTAATTAAAAAAAAATGTAATTAATTTAAAAAAAAAATAAATAACAATAATAATAATTACAGGTAAATCAGAGAAGGCAATGCCCAAATGTGTTCCATTTTTAGTGTAAAACGCGGTATTATCAACAAGATTAACACCACAGCCAATAACATCACCAGTTGTAAAAGTCGGCCCATAAGGCTGACCAGTTCCTGAAGAACAAAAGCTGTGACCATCGTCGCCATGATACCCGTATGAGTGTTTGTCCCATCCAGGAAGTCTGTTAACATTTACTCCATGCGCCGACAGACCAATTCCCATGTAACCATCTCTCCCTTTGCTCACTATTTTAACTTCGAAATAGTAGAGACCGCAGGCAGCTGGTATCGAATGCGTTGTGCGAACACTGGCAGCGTCTTTGTGTGTTTTTCCAAAACCTTAAAAATTTACATCAATTAATAACTAATAGATTAAATAATATACTTGATGTAAAAAATCATAAGTCATAATTCATAACTTGTAAATGAATAAATAATTGAATAAATCTATTGGTGCTTTAATACAAGGTCCCTTCCAAGCCCAGCGACTACTTCTAGGTTACTAGGTCAACTCCTCCTCTCAACTCTTGTTAAATGCTCACACGCCAGCTCTTTACCAGCTTCACTATTTCTCTATGCATTTATATCTGTAGTTATATATTTATATAAAGTAATGTGTATGATGTAGGTACGACTTTCTTGGGTTAGATGTTTTTTTTTTTTTATTATTGCTAACACGTGTGGTTTCTGATTTACTAATTCAGTAATTAATTCTCAGACCTTTGTATAAATACACGGCAATGACTGAATAGCATCTATACGTTTTATAGCTAAATCGATTCAAGGTTCTGCATTAAACTTTTTGTTTCAATATGTTATTATTTATTTATTCAAATTTACTCAATGATTTTTTTTCATAAAAAATTCACTTTTTTTTTTTAACAATAAAAAAATATTTTTTAAAGTGAAATTTAGAAAAAAAAAATTTTTTTTATAAGATCAAAATTTTTGTACAAAAAAAAATATTTTTTTTTATAAAATATTTATAGAAAATTTAATACAAGATTGTTGGAGTTAATATTGATAAAATAAATATTTAATTTAATAAACACTTAATAATATTCTACATTGATAGAAGGATTTATTAACTATTAATAATTTAATTCAATAAATATTTTTAAAAGTGAAGTTTAGAAAAAAAAATTTTTTTCTAGTTAAAATTTTTGTACAAAAAAAAAGTTTATTTTTTTTTATAAAATATTTGTAGAAAATTTAATGTAAGATTTTTGGAGTTAATATTGATAAAATAAATATTAATATTGATATTTAATTTAATAAATAAAATTTAATAATATTCTATACTGACAGAAGGATTTATTAACTATTAATAATTTAATTCAATAAATATTTTTAAAAGTGAAGTTTAGAAAAAAAAATTTTTTTCTAGTTAAAATTTTTGTACAAAAAAAAAGTTTATTTTTTTTTATAAAATATTTGTAGAAAATTTAATGTAAGATTTTTGGAGTTAATATTGATAAAATAAATATTAATATTGATATTTAATTTAATAAATAAAATTTAATAATATTCTATACTGACAGAAGGATTTATTAACTATTAATAATTTAATTTATTTGGAGACAATTATTAAATATTTTTTAACATTCAATAAATATTTATTTTGGAGGAAAGTACATTTATTAAGTTAATAAGTATTTATTAATAGTTAGCAAATATTTATTAACAGTTAATAAAGCTTATTAAATGTAAACAAATCCTTCTATCGGTGCAGGTTATGGGCCCAGATTTTTTAATTTTAATATTTCTAGATCTAATGATCTAGAAAAAATTTTTTAATAAATTAGAATGAAATTTAATTTAGCTGATAATAATTTTAAGAATTTTTTTACCAAATAAATTATGGCAAAAAAAATTATAAAAAAAATTGACGTACAAATTTTAAAAAATGAAAAATGCAATTTTTTAAAAATAATTGTTTTTGTTAAATAAAATTAAAAAATTGTCAAGTGACTGCTCACTTTAATGAAAAAAAAAAAAAAAAAAAAAAAAAAAAATTAAAAACTATCACCCACATATTGTTGACCACGGACAATATTTATCGTAGAGGGCGTGATAACGAAACTAAAAGTATCTTCATGAGGAGAGAAAAAAAAAAAAAAAAAAACAAATAAAATCCTAAACGTTAATAAAATAAATTCTCAAGATACGGAAGGAAAATCCGTTATTGTAACAAAGAGCTGCGCACAAAGCCAACAAATCTTTTGTTATGTATGTATTATGTTTATAAATACATATACATCTCTGATGATATATACATACGTACTCTCCACATAAATATCCGTATCTGTCTTAATTACAGGCAACAGCTGTCATAAAATTTTCCTGAGCTTAAATCCAAAATAACAACAAAGTTATTGAAAATAAAAAAATTATAATAAAAATGAGTGATCAGCTGATTCCTTTGTTTAGGTCGCTGACACGCGAAAAAATGTACTGCCATTTTAAATCAATATTTGTGGTAATGATCGCGAGCGAGTAGGTCTTGAAATAACAAATAAATAAAAAATAAAATTAATAAGTGATTAAAAAATAAATAAAAAAATAAATAAAGTGATGAAAAATTCTTAGAGGATGTTGTCAATAGCAAGGTTGATAAGAGGTGAGCTGGTACGTACCTTTGTAGTGAACGCGAAGATTATTTTGGGACAGCCCGATGTAATTGTACTTGTCCTTAGGGCTCCAAGACCTCGGCAAGGGCGTCTCTTCCTCGTTAACCATCGGATAGAGCATTTTCAATCGATCCGAGGGCTGCTGCCCGCAATTTATCAAAGACGAATCCATAACACTCTGTTCCTCGCTGGTGGCGGCCATCATCGTCTTCCACAGCCCCACTACAACACACTGACACTCTCCTCTCCTCTCCTCAATCGAGAGGCACTCTCTCTCTCTCTCGCTCTTCTGGGCTTCACCCGTATTCTTAAGCTTCCCTCTCGCTCTTACACGCACTCACTCTGGCAGTTAGGCGATTGTGCCACCGAATCTTCAATTGTTCCTCTCCGTCTCTGGCTCTCTGCTCTGTACACTCTGTATAACTCTGTACTACTGCTCCTGGTGCTGCTGTCTGCTGTGCAAGAGCTGTCGCTGCCTAGGAGAAACTAACACTGCGCATGCGCGACATCTGGGAGAAATCACACTGAAGTTAGCAGATGTCTAAAAAATTTTATTACCAAAATATTTTAAACCAAAAATAAATTATATCAAAAAAAATTGACATTTAGGAAATTATAAAAATAAAAAATCCGAAATAATTTTTCGGAGCTAATTTATTTAAAAAAAAAAAATCAAAAAATTGTCAAGTGACACTGCAGTCATAAAATTTTTTTGATTTTTATTATTAATTAAATTACAACTAAAATGATATTTATTAAAAATTGCACTTATAGTTTTTTAAGTTTTTTACATGTGACAATTTTTTTTTTTTTAATTATAAAAATTTTTAAATGTCGGTTAACGTTATTTTCAAAGGGAGAAATATTCTAGCGCGATGACTGGTGGCGGATTTTTGAACTATTTTTTTTTTAAACTGAAGTTAGCTGACAGCTGTCACTTTTTTATTTTTTCAATTAATTTAATTATTAATTTTCCGTAAATAAAATTTTTTTTTAATTGGACTTGTAATTATAAATTAATTGAATAAAAAAATTAATTAATTAATTAATTAAAAGAGAGTTTTAAATATTTTTTATCTCAGATAACTTCAGTGTATATTTTGTGACAGACATTTTAATTTTGGACGCCATTGTTTTTGTTGTTGTCGAGAGGAGCACGTGTATATTATATTACATGATTGAGGGTAATAATAAGAAAATAATTGACAAGTGGAATTATGTGCTCGCTGGATGGTGATTGTGTTGTGGAGAGGGTTGAAAAAAAAATTATTGACAGGTTCGTTTTTTTTTTTTTTTTGAGGGAATTTTTTAAGGAAATTTGTGAATTTATTTTTACTTTTTTTCAAGGTTGGAAAATTTTTTAATTATACTGAAGTCAGCTGATGATTTTTTGGAATTTTACAATAAATAATAATGAAAATTAAGTTAGCTGACATTTAAAAATTTTTAGAATTAAATTATTACAAAAAAAAAATTTCATATGTAAAAATATTGAAAAACTATGAGTGCAATTTAAAAAAAATATTTTTCAGTTATAATTTAATAAATTTAAAAAAATATAATAATAAAGTTAGCTGACATTTTTGATTTGTTTATTTCGCGTAATTTATTAAATTATAACTAAAAAAATATTTTTAAAAAATTATACTTGTAATTTTTAAAGTTTTCAACAAATGAAAAAAAAATTTTTTTTTTTTGTAATAATTCTTTAATAAAAAAAATCATAAAAATTTTTAGATGTCGGTTAACTTAATTTTCATAAAAATTATTATATATCCCGCAGTATCACTCTTTTGACGATTTTTGTGTAAAATTAATTATAATTTTTTTTTTTATCAAGTTTATTGAAATGTAAAATATTTAAATAATTTTTTTTAATTGTTTATTTTGAACGACACTAAAATTAGCAGACACTTGAAAATTTCTCAAGGTTTTTTTTTAAAATAACAGTTCCAAAAAATTATTTAAAAAATCTTATCTTAAAAAGCTGAAAAAAAATTATAAATGCTATTTTTTAAAAATAATTTTCCATTATTAATAATTAATTTTTAAAATTATAGAAACGAAAATTGCCGAAAATGTAATTCAAAATCTCACATAAAACTCCGCGGGTCCGACAACTACTGCAACGACTGTTTCGAAGCGTACGCGACCCACAAATTCCGCGGTACGCTTGGAAAGTCAAAGTTGGTACGCCCGAACGACAAAATCCTCGTGGGATTCTCCGGCTCAGCTGGTTCGGTAGCTCTCTTGAACTTAATCCGAGCTGGAATGCAAGAAAGCGTGCACAAGAGACTAGTTTTTGAGACTCAAGTCATTTTTATCGACTATTTTCTAGAACCTAGAACCGAAATTGAAAAAAAAACTACTATTGACTCAATAATAACTCTAATAAAGTCCTTCGGTTTTCCAGGTTATGTCAGCTCTTTATCAGAAATTTACAACCCGGAGGTTAAAATTCATAAAATAGATGAAATTAATTACAATTATTGTCAGCAAGCTTCAGAAGAAAGCCTAAAAAATTTATTCCAAGCTTTAACAAATGAAACAGCAAAGCAGGAACTGCTAAAAAAATTACGGCTGACACTGCTGGCATCTATCGCTAGAAACTTGCAATGTTCCAAAGTGTTCCTGGCAGATAGCGCCACTAGTCTAGCGGTGGATATTTTAAGCAACGTCGCAGTTGGTCGTGGAGCGCAACTTTCTTTAGATGTTGGGTTTGTTGATGATCGGTTCCAGGAACTGGCGATCTTAAGGCCCATGAGGGACTTTACGAAACAGGAACTTGATTATTATTTGGAACTTCACGGATTGGAACCTTTAAAGAGGAATAAAAAAACTAACGACAATCCTTTTGAGTCAATTCAAAAACTAACTGAAGACTTTGTTCTGGATTTAGAGTCTCAGTTCACTGGAACTGTCTCTACTGTCTACAGAACTGGCGCTAAAATTTCCAGCCAGGGATTTTCAGCAGAGGAAGAGCAAGTTTGTGTCATTTGTAATGCGCCTGTTGACACCAAGCCTCAAGATGGAGCCACTGCTATCTTAGCGACGGAGTTTTCGAGGTTTATTTCGACTAGGGGGGTTAGGGCTGTTGAGAGGAACAATGGAGATTGTGGTAGCTTCAAGGAACCTTGTGGAGGGTGTGAAGGAGATTGTGGGAGTAAGAAGGAACAGAGGGTGACTGTGGAACAGTTGAGGAGGTTCTTGTGCTATGGGTGTAGGTTGATTGTTCATGATAAGTTTGAGGTTGATAAATTACCGGGTAATATTACAAAGAAGGTTAAACAGTTGGCTTGTTTTGAAGATATGAGAGAACAGATTAAGGATTTTTTACTGTGAATCTTATGATGGACTGTTAGTAGACATCTGATAATTTTTTTAATTTTTATAATTAATCATTAATAAATTATTGTAAAAATATTTTTTTTTAATTCGTACTTTTACCCTGATTCAAAAAGATGATTTGAAATTATTACTTTTATGTTAATTGTATATTTATTTATTAATTTATTATTTAATTTTAATGCCAAGGCAGTATAGCCAAATGACAAAAGTATGAAAAAAAAATTTACAATAGAAGTACACGTATTAAATAATGATGATATAAAATTTCAAAATTTTAGTTATTAAGAAATAACCGTTTTTCTTAAATTTAAAATATAGTTATGATAAATAGAAGAAAAGTATAAAAATATTTATATATAATTTAAATTTGATGCTTTTGAATTATTTCAAATTAGATTTCATAATCAGGGTTAATTTTTATAAAAAATTTATTGTTATAAATGTTAAAAATCTTGAAAATTGTTAGATGTCTGTTAAATTGAGTATCATGTAAATATTTAGTAAATTGTGAAGATGTAAGGATGAATATTTTGGAGTATTTTTTGTAAAAATTTACTATGACATGTAAATATTTTAATGATACTGAAATTAAGGGGATTCTTTTTAGAAATTTTTTAAATTATAAATTATAGAAAGAAAAATTTTATCTTTAGAAGCTCTAAAAAATAATAAATACAATTTTTTGTATATAATTTTCTAGGCCTAATTTATTACTCAAGAAAAATAAAAAATTGTCTATTTAAATGTCATATATTTTAACCAGAATTTTAATTGAGAAATTTGAATTAAAATTTATGACACTAAAGTTAGAAGAAAAAAAAATTTTTTTAATTTAGTATCTTTAAAATTTTGGTTTAAATTTGTTTGTTTTGAATATTGTAATTATTTACTTTCAATAAATAATTTTGTAATTGTAAGCTTCACTATTTTCTTTTTTTAATTTAAATTATTTAATAATTTTTTATTATTTATTATTATTATTATTATTAATTTATTATTACCTGTCAAATTTTTTCAATATTTAATTTTTTTTCCATACTACCAACCTGAGAAATTTTACCATCAGCTGATCCAACAATTGTCATCCATCCCAACCAGTTGGTCAATAAAAATATTTCATAATTCCATTGTTTATAATTACAATTACAATTACTAAATACAGGAAATCTGAAAAAAAAATAAAAAGTGTAAAGTGACAAAAAGTAAGTACCTATTTTTCTACTAAAATTACAAATATAATTGTCTTTAAAAAGAAAAGTTTCTTTGAGTGTTATTAACATTATACATTACATAATTTAAGGTTAAGTACACTTATACTAAAAATGTTGAACATAAAAAAAGAAAATTAAGGTATTAAAAATTTTGGAAAAAATAATTATTCAAATTTTGAAAAATTTTTAACCTGTCAAATTTTTTTGGTTACAAAAAAGGAGTAAAAATTATTGACATTGTTGATTTTGCATTAGAGGAATTTATGAGTGTTAAAAATATTAAGAACATCTGTCAATTTTTTGGATTTTTATAAAAAATAAAATGACACTAAAGTCAACAAACGTCTTAGAATTTTCAATTTTTTTTTTTTTTTTAATTAAATAACAACTAAAAATAAGATATTTCTATAAAATTGCACTCATAGTTTTTTAATTAGCTGTCACTTGACCATTTTTTAATTTTATTTAACAAAAAAATTTGTTATTTTTAAAAAAATGCACTTTTAATTTATTAATATTTCTAAATCTCCATTTTTTTCTTTTTTTTTTTTGTGCAGTAATTTATTTATTAGAAAAATTATAAAATGTCTGGTAAATTAATTTTCATTTGATATTAATTTAATTTTTAAATAATTATAGAAACCTCAAGATGTCTATGCTAATCACTCCCTGGTTCCGCAACATCTTCACCGACCTTTTCGGAGGACTCATGAACTTCCAGGACCACCCGGAATGCGCGATCCACGAGCTCCGCGTGGTAGACTGTTTGGAAGCCTACGGAACTTTCCACGGTAAAACAAAGTGCCGCGTGCTCCTCGATGACTTCCGAGAGTGCGTCTGGAAGGACAAGCAGGTCCAGAGGATGACTATCATGAGCATGGAGCGCGCGAGACAGTACCACGACGGCGAGCGTCCTAAAGAAGGTCTCTGGGCCAAAGCACCCCGGGCAGACTCTTTCTAATTACAATTAGTTTGTTTATATTGATATTGATTATTATGTATTATTAATATACTTCAATTATTGATCCATTACGCGGGTTTGATAAGTGTAGTTACTGGTTAACAATAAATTTATTAGAAAATAGTGGAATTAATTATTTACTAGCAACCTTGCAGTCACCATGACTTGTAAAATATAAATAAATAAAATTTTGCTTTTTTAAATAATTAATTTTGATAAATTGCACTGTACTTTTTTAACTATTGACATTTTTTAAGATATAAGCTCATCCTGATGTTACACTCATCGAGAGCTTTCATATGAGTACCCATATGCATTTTTGATATATTTTTCATATATACATATATATATAATATATATAAATATATGAAAAATTGATATGGGTACTCAAATGAAAGGTCTCGAGGAGTGTCACATCAGGATGAGCTTATATCTTTAAAAATGTCAATAATTCACAAGATACAAGGTAACTTCTTAATTATTGACATTTTTAAAGAGATAAGCTCATCCCGATGTTACACTCATTGAGACCTTTCATTTGAGTACCTACTTGCATTTTTTAAATATTTTTCATATATACATATATATAATATATATAAATATATGAAAAATTAATGTAGGTACTCAAATGAAAGGTCTCGACAAGTGTAACATCAGAATGAGCTTATATCATTAAAAATGTCAATAGTTCTCAAGATACAAGGTCATTTTCTATTTAAGTATCTAGAGATAGAGCATTTTTAAATTTAGCCTAAATACTTATCATCTTAAATTGACTATCAGTAAGAATAATATGTAATCTTAAAAAGGCACAAATTCAAATCAAGACCTTTTCAATGACACTAAATTACACTAAAAAAAAATCAATTTTATCATATGACTACCCTGGATACAAAATTTTTCTTATTCTCTTAATGATATAAATTATTTTAAAAAAATAATATTTTTTTGTAAATATTTTATTAATACTAATTTATTTTGTTAATTAAAATTAGAAAAATTTTTGTATGAAATTTTACATAAATTTTCATATTTTTTCAGTTTCATTTATTGCTTTACAATTTTTATTTTTTTTTTATAAAAAAAAATTTTTTTTAAATAGAATTAAATTCAAAAATTGGAATTAATTTAAGAAATTTCTGTTTTTAAAAAAAAAAAACCTTTTTTTTCCATCTTAGATTTTTGTTATTTATCTAAAAAAAAAAAAAAAAATTACAATATTGTTGTATAAGTATAATTACAGTAATTAATTAATTTGTTCATAAAAATGATACGTCATAAAATCAGATCACACAAATCCGATGAATTAATTGATTAAAAATATATATATATATATATATTTATAATATTGTCATTAAAGTTTTAAAACATACAATACAAATGACAAATACAATAATTAACAATTAATAACATTGATAAAATGTCGATTGTTGATTATATTAAAATTCTAAAACTTTAACGTTAAGTACATGGGTGTATTTTAATAATAATTAATAATTAATAAAATAAATCAATTAATACATTATATAATGGAGCGTGCACGAATAAACGTGCTTATAATATAAATGGACGATTAAAATGGAATGAATGTGCATTATTACTCAGAATATTATTATCATAATAATAATAATGATAATAATAATTACTAATTAATAAAAAAATGAGCCACCAACAATCCGTATGTTATAATTATTACCTATTTACAATTACTCGGGATTATTTGTTCTAATGAGGGAATAAAAATATTCCTCTGAATAATTATTTACAATCTAATTAAATTTAATAAAAATAAATTCGTAACGAGTCATACATTTAAAATAACCATTCAAAATAATTTTTTTTGGCTCTTAATAACATATTTCTAAAATTACAGTATTTTAAAAAAAAGTTTTTTTTTTT